GCCCTTGAGGTAAGCTAAAACATATCAAAAATTAATTTCAAAGTGAACTATCCCTTTTTAAAGGTCCTAATAAAGTTTTCCTAAGAAAAGGCCTTAAAAAGCATTACAATTTCTTAAATTTAGATTCGATGGGTCTTAAATATTTCTGGTCACATTACTGCCAAAATTCCTCCAGTTTGACGGACCCAATGTCCGTCAAATAACCAGCGAAGCATCGAATTGCGAAAATGATTCTGATTTTATTTCATAAACAGCGATTGATAATGATCATGTATTTCTGGTAACATTGTTGAGACTCGCGCTGCCTGTCTCTGTGAGAGATTTTATAGTGGGAAATCTAAATAAATGAGCATAATCGCACACATAAAAAAACTCACAGAAGAAACATACTGAGGTAAAAATTCTAAATGTTGAGTTTTTTTTATTTATAACATACACTCACCTAAAGGATTATTAGGAACACCATACTAATACTCTGTTTGACCCCCTTTCGCCTTCAGAACTGCCTTAATTCTACGTGGCATTGATTCAACAAGGTGCTGAAAGCATTCTTTAGAAATGTTGGCCCATATTGATAGGATAGCATCTTGCAGTTGATGGAGATTTGTGGGATGCACATCCAGGGCACGAAGCTCCTGTTCCACCAGTTCCCAAAAATGCTCTATTGGGTTTAGATCTGGTGACTGTGGGGGCCATTTTAGTACAGTGAACTCATTGTCATGTTCAAGAAACCAATTTGAAATGATTCGAGCTTTGTGACATGGTGCATTATCCTGCTGGAAGTAGCCATCAGAGGATGGGTACATGGTGGCCATAAAGGGATGGACATGGTCAGAAACAATGCTCAGGTAGGCCGTGGCATTTAAACGATACCCAATTGGCACTAAGGGGCCTAAAGTGTGCCAAGAAAACATCCCCCACACCATTACACCACCACCACCAGCCTGCACAGTGGTAACAAGGCACGATGGATCCATGTTCTCATTCTTTTTATGCCAAATTCTGACTCTACCATCTGAATGTCTCAACAGAAATCGAGACTCATCAGACCAGGCAACATTTTTCCAGTCTTCAACTGTCCAATTTTGGTGAGCTCTTGCAAATTGTAGCCTCTTTTTTCCTATTTGTAGTGGAGATGAGTGGTACCCGGTGGGGTCTTCTGCTGTTGTAGCCCATCCGCTTTAAGGTTGTGCGTGTTGTGGCTTCACAAATGCTTTGCTGCATACCTCGGTTGTAACGAGTGGTTATTTCAGTCAAAGTTGCTCTTCTATCAGCTTGAATCAGTCGGCCCATTCTCCTCTGACCTCTAGCATCAACAAGGCATTTTCGCCCACAGGACTGCCGCATACTGGATGTTTTTCCCTTTTCACACCATTCTTTGTAAACCCTAGAAATGGTTGTGCGTGAAAATCCCAGTAACTGAGCAGATTGTGAAGTACTCAGACCAGCCCGTCTGGCACCAACAACCATGCCACGCTCAAAATTGCTTAAATCACCTTTCTTTCCCATTCTGACATTCAGTTTGGAGTTCAGGAAATTGTCTTGACAAGGACCACACCCCTAAATGCATTGAAGCAACTGCCATGTAATTGGTTGATTAGATAACTGCATTAATGAGAAATTGAACAGGTGTTCCTAATAATCCTTTAGGTGAGTGTATGATATAGTTAAGTAACATAACATGACGGGAGCTACTTTGCCGAATATTCTCACGATTGCAAATGTAACATTTGATTTTAGTTCAACAAACAAGTAGTTTAAATTAAATTACTTCAATTACTTCGGTTAAACATTAAATATTACATATAAGTATGTAATATAATGTGTATTTCCAACACAAGGTTTGGTCAAGTGGCATTAAAAAGGTCTTAAGTCTTACATTTAACTTGTTTATATCTGTAGACACCCTGAGGAGTCAAAGTTGACAGTAACTTAAGCCACTTTTGTGTCTCTAGAACTAAGTTCTGACTAATCTAAAACAGGGGTTGGAGACAATTTTGTCATTGGTTGTTGCGTTAAATCTTACCCAGATACAATTGTGCTATTTTCTGATTGGCTATTGTGTAGCTCGACGAACAACACCAGAGGAAACGCGCTTGATTCATGCTGTTTCCACAGTTGGGCGCTGCGGCATATTAAATATATTACAAATAGTTTTTCAGCGTGAGAAATACAATGTGTGGCGGGAGAGCGTGACAAAAGACTGAAATGAGTGACACTTGAGAGCCCTGGATTTATTTATAAAAAAACTCGATTTACCATTCGATTCGATCCCCCCCTTCCATTTAAAACAAAATAACTGCAAACTGTAAATATATTTTAAATATATATATTTATTGTATTTAATTAAAGTGCATCAAACAAAATTGCAAAGGCAAACCCTTTCTCTAACTGAAAAGTCACTGTGCAGTGTGCAACAAAGATTGTTAAACATCCAAATTATTTATACTGTATTTGGATTGAGCTAATAAAACAACAAAAAATTCTTAGTTGAATTGAACATGTAAACCGTAACACCACTCGCCATAAAAAATGTAATTGAGAGGGGGAGAATTTTTAAAAAAAAAATCGATTTTTGGAAAATATGTATCGATTTGACCTACCAACCGGATTTTTAAATCAAATCGATTTTTTTCCCAGCCCTATCTGCAGTTGTAGATTTCATCAGAATCCCGCAGTGAACTCTGGTTGAATCCAGGCCGGTTGAGTCCCAGGGAAGGTCTCCATTCTGTCTTCATGCAGCGTTTCCATGGAGAGCTGGCGGTTGCTACGGAGCGTCGTTTGTTAGTGTCAGTGTGAGGCTGCGTGAGGATTCCTGGTGACCCGAGGGTTCGGCTGGCCCCTTCTCACAATGGGCCGACCCGTTCCAGAGTCCCAGCGCTGCTTTTGTTGCCACACTCATATATCAAATGCATTCTCCTGCCAGCGGCTCCAACAATGCTTCTCAAACTCTCACACACTCACATCAAAGGCCCAGTGGGGACGTTCTGTGAGTTTGACACATGCAAGTGCTGCAAAACGAGAACAAGCCCCACACAACTTCTGTTCTGTGTGTGCTTGTATCTTTCTTCTCCTATCTGTCTGAATGAGAAAAATCATAATTTCCCTTAAATAATTGACATCAGAATATTTATTTTTAAATACATGTCAGTGATTGGTTACGACGCTAAACCGAAATATTGAATTAATTGTTCTAAAAGTTGTAATGTGCATTTGATTATGCATGTTCACATGATTTATTTGGTAACACTTTACAGTAAGGTCCCATTAGTTAATGTTAGTGAATGCATTAGCTAACCTTCATGTCAGCTCAGGGCCATTAATTAATATTAACACACAACTTTTGATTTGAATAAAGACTGATTAAATTATGAAATTGCCATTACTAAAGATTAATAAATGCTTTAGAAGTATTTTTCTTGTTTACTAATGTAGTTTACTAATGTTAACAAATGGAACCTTATTGTAAATGTTACCGTTTTTCTGTTGGATTTTGCTGTTAATGTTTTGTTGATTACATTAAATGACAAACTAAAAAGCTTCAGACTACTTGTGTGCTAAATACACTGCAGGTTTTATCAAACGGAATTAATATAGACTTCTAGTCTACATCAGACATGTGTTGCGAGTTGCAACACATCACAAATTAATTGCTCTCTTTATAATCAACACTTGATGGGCCGGTACAGTTGATGTGGTATAGTCTCCTCCTCGGTTTATGAAACACACCAACTTGTTTTATTCACCTAGTCGTTCTTCAATCAAATGAATTTATTTAAATGTCATGAATTAATTACATTGAGTGTTTATTTGTTTTTAATTTAAATAAGATTCTGGTTATTAGAGCAGCTCATGTCCAGCTAATTCAAGCCATCTTCTGTTTCTGATCATAGCACGTTCATCCATTGACATGCTTGATCATTTGTTTTCATCGCCTGACTGCAGCTGAAACTTCTCTCTGAGTTTGTGGAGGAATCTGATGGGTTTTTTTAAACCCACTGAGAATCAGGACACAATTTCACAGCCCCGTTGAAGCACGCCCTGTCAAAAGACAGTGTGAAATCTATGCAAATTCAGCCCAAATAGTTTCTGAAACCCGGCGAGAACAAACCCATCATCCATAGCGAGCCACTGCCGTCCAGAACCGCTTCACTCCTGCTGCGTGTCTGAGATCACTGTCTCTAATCTGACTGTGATATTCCTCCTCCTGCCCTGAGCCACCGGAGGTGTGTGTGTGTGTGTGTGTGTGTGTGTGTGTGTGTGAGTTACTGAGAGGAATACACAAACACACACACACACGATTTATCTTCTTACAATGAGGGAATCGTCCTCATCAGGGAGGACACACAAAAATCAGTTTTTCTCTTTTATTCATGTATATACATATATAACGTGTATATGTGTTGTCTAATCGTGTTTTTCCCCCTGATGCAATTATGATTAATTCAAAAATAAAAATGTTGTTATTATTATTTTAATGTTTTATTATTATTTAAATATCAATCCAAATAAGACATTTCATTATTGTAATATTATTTAGCTGTAAATTACTAAATTAGTATTTAATAAAAATGATGAGTATTATTATTAAAAAAATATTAAACAAAATAAGAAATAACTATTGTAATATTATTTTACTGTTAATATTATTTTATTATTAATATAATAATATCATATTATTAATATTTAATAATAATAATATTATTATTTAAAAATTAAACAAAATAAGCTATATTACTATTGTAATATTTCACTGTAAAATAAAATGAGTATTCAATAATTTGATTGACTATGTGGAGCAGCATTTACTGAGATGCTCTGAGACTCGTATAATAATTAAAATGCAGCCTTTGTGATCTGATAATCTCACTAAGTTGATTTCGGTTTTGTTTTAATTGTTTGGCCCTGATTCTAGTTACATTTTACAAAATTTACAAGATTCTTTCTCTTAATTTTTTTCCTGACATATTTGTTTCTTTCATGTGTGCAGGTGTGTGTCCATTGGGATACCATAGCAATGATTGTCGGTGAATCACAGCAGAGCCGGCCCCCCTTCAGCTGTCTGTGACCAATCAAGAGTCTCAGAGTGAGCAAGAGGGCGGAGCCCGTCTGATGATGGACAGACAAATCATCCACTCAAGTTTAGAGCCCCGCCCCCTCTCTCCGCCTCAGCAATGGTCACATAGAAGCACAGAGACATTTCTGTGTCGTTCCTCTCGTTTTACGTCCCCGAAAGAACATGAACATGTAGATTGAACTTCAGTTTTCCTTCTTTTAGCTGTTTGTGTGTTTATTTGTGTGATGCCCAGCGTGCTCCGCCTGCGCCGTCTCGTTCGCCAGGTGCCACTACAGACCAGCTTCATCTTCCTCTTCTTCCTCTGCGTTCTCAGTGTGTTTCTCTCTTCCTACTTCCTGTACGCTGTCAAACGAGAGCTCGAACCGTCGGTCACAGCAGGGCATGCAGCGGATGACCTCTACGTGACCTCTTCTCGGCCACTCCCCTTTCTTGCTGGAGTGGGCGGGGCGTTGCCGTCTGATGGCTATCGGTCGGATCCGGTCGTGTTGGTGTTCGTGGAGAGTCAGTATTCGCAGCTCGGCCAGGAGATCGTGGCCATCCTGGAGTCTGCGCGATTCCGGTACCGGACGGAAATTTCTCCAGGAAAAGGGGACATGCCCACGTTAACGGATGGACAGCGGGGACACTTTGTGCTGATTGTGTATGAAAACATCCTGAAGTACGTGAACATGGACGCCTGGAATAGGGAATTACTGGACAGATACTGTATCGAGTTTGGAGTTGGAATTATCGGCTTCTTTAAGGTAAGCGACTCTATCAGTTTCACACACTCGCTCATCAGCGTTTCTATGGAATTCCAAAGCTGCCAAAAAAAGAAGAAAAAAACCCATAAATTAATATATGAATAAATGTAAAAAAAATAAATAATAATAAGTATTTATACGGCTTCTTTGAGGATTAGTTCACCTCAAAATGAAAATTTCCTGATAATTTACTCACCCCAATGCCGTCCAAGATGTTCATGTCTTTTTTTCTTCAGTGGAAAAGAAATTAAGTTTTTTGAGGAAAACATTTCAGTATTTTTCTCCACACAATAGACTTCAACGGTAACCAAATTGTTGAAGTCCAAATCAATGCAGTTTCAAACGGCTCTGCACGATCTCAGCTGAGGAACAGGGTCTTATCTAGCCAAACGATCGGCCATTTTCAAAAAAAAAAAAAAAGTATATACTTTTTAACCACAATTGTTCGTCTTGTGCTGGTCTGCGACGTGCCAGGCATTACGTAATCATGTCGGAAAGGTCACGCTGGACGGAGGCGGAAGTAACGCCCCATTGTTTACAAGCGTGGAGAAGGAGGATCGTTCAAATTTGAATGACATATTTATGTCTTTGTGTCGTTTAAATTGGTCCTTTCGTGTGTGTATCCTGGATGTTTAAAACAATGGGGCGGTACTTCCACCTAGGGCTGGACGATTTTGGCTAAAATCATAATCGCGATTAATCTAACAAGTTACCTCGATTACGATTATTGAACGATTATTTTAATTTACATTTTTTTCTCATATCATATGTCACTCACTGGCAAGGCTTATACTGTAAATATGTTCACGGTTATTTTTTCTAATGAAAGAGTGCATAATCCTATCTCTGTGATTCTAAAATAAGGAAACACACAGATAGCTATGAATGCTTATTTATTAAATATTTCAAACAATTGAATCAAACAAAGCATACAATGCTTGAAATAAAAAAGTCTTATAAAAAAGTCATTTAAGTTTTAATGTAAAAAATAAAATGTAGAAAATAAAGAACTTTTAAAAATAGTTATTTTTGTAAACAAAATAAATTATTGTAAATATTGCCATCTTAAAAGTTAAATATACTATTTCTTTCCATCTTCTCGAATCCTTTTCATATTGTGTAGCATTTGTAAATGCTTGTGTTACACCTGCTTTGTGGAGGCACTGGGCGTTTGTCAGTCTCTCTCTTTTTTTGAGCCATGCACTGTTCATATTCGGTACAACAGATTGCTGGTATTACCTTTGGTCGCTGTAACAGTTTTTCTGCAGTGTTTGCATTTGACTTGAGTGTGTCGTCTTTATTGAAGCCAAAATGTGTCCAAACGACGGACACTGCGTGTATCTTTGGTACTAGCGGCTCGCAGACTGGACGGGGCAGAGTCACTTGACTACACACGCGGTAATATGTTTAAAGGGGAAAGTACATTAACACACAATGGGCGGAAATATTAATAGGATTAAAAAAACGAAATAACCGACCTGGTAAAATGACGTCGGTTATAGGCTCTGAATTTCGGTTTCGATTAATCATCCAGCCCTACTTCCGCCTACGTCCAGCGTGACCTTTCCAACGTGATTACATAATGCCTGGTGCGTCGCAAACCAGAACAAGACGAACAATTGTGGTTAAAAAGTATATAAATTATTTTTTTTTTTTAAATGACCGATCGTTTCGCTAGATAAGACCCTGTTCCTCAGCTGGGATCGTGCAGATCCCTTTGAAGCTCTTCATAGCCCTTTGAAACTACATTGATTTGGACTTTAACAATTTGGTTACCGTTGAAGTCCATTTATTATTTTGGCAGCTTTGGAATTCCATACTTTTCAACCTCCTACTTGGAAAAGTGTGTTGTTGTAACCAGTGAAATTTTAAATACATGGATAAAGTGAATCAATATAGTCTCAAAGCCACAGGCGGCAGACGGGACAAATCTAAGATATATGATATAAGATGTAAGATATAAATTTTAGCCGAAACAGCTATTTTTGGTTTCAGGCTGATTTTTTTTTTTTTTTTTTTTTTTTGGAGGGCTGAAATCAGTGACTGAAATGGATGTTCAATTAGCACTTCTCTAATGGCACAGTGTTCAGCGTCTATTTCGTGCACACAACGTGGGTAAACAGTTAAACATGTCAGCTGTGTATCTCTGGATTGACAATATTAATTTCTCGATTTTAATCGGTAATGATCTAAAATCTTATAGTCAGTTCTGTTTTCTGTTGATGCATGAACAAAACTTTGCTAAACATTTGTAGCGTACCTGCCATCCAATAATTACAAAAAGCTTTTTGCTTTGTTTCTTTTGATATAAAGCAAAGTCTCAACTTTAAAATCTGTCGATTTTATTACGAAATTCAATCGTTTCGAGGCTCTTGACTTTAACACAGCGTGACAGATCACAGATCAAACACACGTGAACTGATCATCTCTTCTGCTTTACTACTGGTTATAGCAGCAAATAAACATGGGTGAACATCAGAAGAAATGTTGAAAGATACAGTACAACTTACTGAAATGAATCATCTTTCATGTAATCACCCAACCAGTGTTTACACACAGTGATTATACAATGTCACTTAATGTTACATTTACCTCATAAAAAGCTATTCAATGTTCATAAACTCATTAGTTAGCTAGATAAATAACTAGAGAAGACCATTTGCTAAATATATACGGTATTACATATTCATTATAGTGTTTTGCATGTTAGTGATGTCTTGATTACTTAATGTATGTTTGAATAAAACTGTTTATTGTCATTTTAAATGTTTTAGCCATTAACACTTTATATATATATATATATATATATATACACAACCCCATATATATACTTAGTGTTAATTCTTGATTATAATGTTCCAAAATCTGCTATCAGTAGCGTGAGATCATCTGATGTCACTTCCTGTCTGTCCCGTTAGGCCAATGAGAACAGTCTGTTGAGTGCGCAGCTGAAAGGATTTCCTCTGTTCCTGCACTCCAAGCTGGGACTGAAGGACTGTACGGTCAACCCTAAATCACCTCTGCTTCACGTCACTCGAGCACAGCAGGTCAGACGAGGTTTCAGCGCTCATCAGCTGAAGTTAACTTAAATAAAGCCTGTGTCTCTGTGTCAGGTGGTTCGCGGTCCTCTTCCCGGGGATGATTGGACCGTCTTCCAGTCCAATCACTCCACCTACGAGCCGGTCCTGTTGGCGAAGCCCCGTTCTGCGGAGAGCGCTGGGCTCGGGGCTCTTCTGCACACCTCTGTGGTGCAAGATCTCGGGCTTCACGACGGGATCCAGAGGGTTCTGTTCGGACACAACCTCTCCTTCTGGCTCCACAAGCTGGTGTTCGTGGACGCCGTGTCCTTCCTCACTGCTAAGAGACTGTCCCTGTCCCTGGAGCGCTTCATACTGGTGGACATCGATGATATATTTGTGGGCAAGGAAGGGACCAGGATGAAGGTGTCGGATGTGAAGGTGCGTTAAATGGTAAATGGTAAATGGACTGCATTTATATAGTGCTTTCACAGACCCAATGGCCACCAAAGCCTCACATTCACCCATTCACTCACTCATTCATACACCGACGGGCGACGGCAGCCATGCAAGGCGCCATCCAGCTCGTCGGGAGCAGCTGGGGTTAGGTGTCTTGCTCATGGACACCTCGACACTTGGTCAGGTGCAACCGAGGATTGAACCACCAACATTCCGGTTTGTAGACAACCCACATGAACCACTGAGCCACTGCCGCCCCAGAGAAGTTCCAGTTTAACTGGAAGAGTTAAAGAGATCGACTCTAACATCTGCTTTTGTTTAAGCTTTTTACCACTGTTATTATTAGGAGAAAGTGCAGGGGGGGAAAGCATGGAAACTAAGGGAAGATAGAGAGAATGGATTTGGGAAATCACAAGCCAAATTACAGCTGGAATCTAAAGCTAAATATTATACAGTGGCTTATTTAGATTTTTTTCATGCAACACAAAAAAGATATCTGGAACAATCTTATGAAAATAATTCCGGATCATGTTGTGTGTGTGTGTGTTTACTCTGCTGGAGTTTAGGGACAAAATCATCTTCAGAATGGGGATGTTAATGAATTATGTGTAGATTAATAAATAGTGTGTGGTGTGTGTATCTTCTCAGGCGTTGGTTGAAACCCAGAGTGAGTTGCGGAGGTCCATTCCAGACTTCACCTTTAACCTGGGCTTCTCAGGGAAGTTCTTCCACGCAGGTGAGGGAAAACTGCACAACTTCAGCCTTTGAGAAGCATTAATGAAATATATGACGCTGGAAGTTCAGCTTTGCATTACAGGGATAAATACATTTTGCAATATATTACAATAGTTATACAGTTGCATTTACTGTATTACAAAATACTGTATTTTTGATCAAATAAATGCAGCCTTGGTGAGCATAAGAGACGACTTTCAAAACGTTTTAAAAATCATAATTGTGTTTGTGTGTGTGTGTCTTGTGTATACCTGTATACATGTGTGCGTGTATACGTGCGTGTGTGTGTGTGTGTCAGGTACTGATGAGGAGGATCTGGGTGATGATCTGCTGCTGTCATACGTTCATGAGTTCTGGTGGTTTCCTCACATGTGGAGTCACATACAGCCACACCGCTTCCATAACCAGAGTGTGTTATCAGAGCAGATGATCCTGAACCGACGCTTCGCTGAGGTGACACACACTCACACACACACACACACACGTGTCTGGAGTGTTATATTCCTCTGTCAGTTGAAGTTCTGACTGTTATTCTGTGTTTGTGGCGGTTGATTTGGTCCTGTAGAATCACTCTATCCCGACTCATCTGGGTTACGCAGTGGCTCCTCATCACTCCGGTGTGTATCCCGTCCACATCCAGCTGTACGAGGCCTGGAAGCGCGTATGGGACATCAGAGTGACCAGCACTGAGGAGTATCCACACCTCAAACCCGCTCGATTCAGACGCGGCTTCATTCACCGCGGCATCAGAGTGAGTGTGTGTGTGTGTGTGTGTGTGTGTGTGTGTGAGCTCTGCTCATTAATATTTTGAAATCTGCTCATTTCACATTTTGCCCTCAGTGACATTTAGATCTTCACATTGTTAGAGTGACAGCTTTTACTCTCCACTTACTCATCATGGTAGAATGAGTGAATAATGAATGATGTTATTCAACCACACAGAACAAATTACCTGCAAACATTTGGAGGAATAAATATCAACATAAAATGCATAAAAATGTAATCGACATAAATAATAATTTTGTAATTATAAAATAAAATAAACAAAATGATATATATATTTTTTATAATTTGGAATGTATTAATTATAAATTCTAAAATAAATGAATTAAATATGTAATAATTATAAAGTAATTTATAAAATATATCTATTAAAATATTTATGAAATAATATAAAATATAAAATGATTTGGAATTATTTAATACATACTTTATATAAAAACTGAAATAATTTTTAAATGATTGGGTTTCCCAGTACTAATAAACATGAATAATTTTGTAATATTAAAATCATTATGAAATAATTTTCATAGTTACTTCATGTGTAATAATTATTTTATTATCATAAAATAATATAATATATAACATAATTATAATTTATAAAATAACTGAATGTAATAATTATACAATAACTATAAAATATAAAATAAATAAATAGTTACAAGTATAAAAAATATTTTAAAATAATTATAAAATAATATTAAATGTTAAATAATTATGAAATAATTGTTTCAGACTTTATTCTTCCTTCAGAGCTCAGCTCAAATCCGATCCGATTATTGTTCATGCGCAGCTCCCGTACTCTCCAACAGAAATTAGATTAGATCAGCCTTTATTTGTCTCACAAATGAGAAATTTCAACATTACAGCAGAAAGTGGATAGCATGAAATAAAGTAAAATGATAAGTGACATTAACATAATCCTAACAATATCAAAATTCTAAATAAATTATACAATACTAAATTAACAATAAAAATGTAGTAATTGAATGACTTCCAGTGTGTTCTCAGTCGTTTGTCAGAGATGATGACAAGTTTTCAAATCATCACTCACGGCACAAGACGAGATCCACAAGCCCTGTTACTGTCAAAGGTGTTCGTGTCATGCAAAGACCAAAACAATACGGCCACTGACCCAAGCGTGAGAACGGTCGGCTTCTCTGCTGACCGCGTCCCAGTCGTGCTTTATTTCAGGAGCATATTAATATTCTGCTCGCTCTCTTTCTTGGGTTCCATAATGAGATTGAGCTCCTGAGTTCAGTGTGAGATGTTATGAATATTACATTAGCTCACGTCTATTTATTCCCTCACTGAGACAGGCGCTGTACTGCACGAGTGTGTGTAAGAGCCAAACACACATGCATAAAGTCAGGCAGTGTGTGAATGCAGAACTGACTGGGTGTCACATTTGTGTGTGTTTTCATCAGGTCCTGCCCAGGCAGACGTGTGGTCTGTTCACACACACCATCTTTCACAAGGATTATCCCGGCGGGCCACAGGAGCTGGAGAGACTCATTGACGGAGGAGAGCTGTTCCTCACCGTCCTGCTCAACCCCGTCAGTCTCTCTACACACACATCAACTCACTGTGTTCATATATAGCCATACAAATGTTCATCCTTTTCAGCATTTTGATGGCATTCAGTAAACATTTCAATATTGCTGTATTTGACCTGATAGGAATTAAAAGGGTGTTTAAATTTTTTTTTTTGTGGTAATAATGCTGTTGAAATGAATCAAGACGTGTTTTTAATAACTGAATTCAAGAAAGACTGATATTTTTAAAAAAAATGTATCCAAACAAGTTTTGGAGGAAAAATATTATGAGTTTTCCAGTGCTTATCAACGTAAATAATTATTTTTTAATTATGAAATAATTATAAATAATACATAAGGGAAATTTTATGTCATGACCCCTTTGAAATCGTACATCTAGATTTTTTTAATGTATGAAAATGAAACATTCACTTTTTTATTTGAGTGACAAACAAATCGCTGAATCTGAGTTTTGAATTGATTCATTGAAATGGGCAGTTTGAACGGATTCGGAGAAACGAATCAAATTGAACAATTCTTACACTGTTTTTTATTACACACGTTTTATTGAAAGATGCTGTTACCATCTCTGAACACTTTCATAAGAGTCATGAGACAAGATCATGAAACCAGTTTAAGACCTAATAATGGTACCAGTCAGCTAATTAAACATGCAACGTAATGAGGTCATGTGACCACAATGTAGCGTTCTACTGTTTGTACCATCGCATGCTGTTTACATACTAATATACAGTGATCTATGATGACAGACCGTATAGAATATACTTGGTGCAGAATATGCTAAGTGCAGCCTTAAAATGGGTTTGATTGGCTGAAGTGTCTTTCTTTCTTTCTTTCTTCCTCAGATTAGCATATTCATGACTCACCTGTCAAACTACGGGAATGACCGTCTGGGCTTGTACACCTTCAAACGGCTGCTGAACTTCCTGCTCACATGGACTCATCTGAGACTACAGACGCTTCCTCCAACGCAGCTCGCCGAGAAATACTTCCACCTGTTCCCGTCTGACGCCGAGCCGCTCTGGCAGGTGTGTGTCAGTGCGGATTCATTTGGACAGTATGATTTCAGAGTATAAATATAAATCTACTATCCAAACTGCATTTAAAACACGTGATTCGAAAGTCCAGCGGTTCCTAACACTTTGCTCAGTTTCTCCTGTCAGTCGCTCAAGCTAATCTTAACTCTTTCTCTGTCTCGGTGAAATCTCTCAGCTGTGTGATCTTGTGTTCAGGACCCCTGTGAGGATAAAAGACACAAGGACATTTGGTCAAAAGAGAAAACCTGCGACCGCTTCCCAAAGCTGCTGCTCATCGGCCCTCAGAAGACTGGTGAGGAGCAACAGCGCCATCCCGTGGACACATTCAGAACGACTCTTTACTCCGCCAGATCCTTTTAGAATCAAACCTGTTTACACTACAGTGTGAATAATGAATGCAATATAAATGCATATTATATATTGTCAGTGGTGGCTGGTGGGTTTTAAAATAGAAGAGGCACACGAAATTGTATTGTTTTCAGCTTAACTGCTTTAAAATGGCTTTTTTGGTCACTTTTAGATTACACAAATTACACATACAGCAAGAAAATATAAATATAATTGTACTCACCCTGGCCTATCACTTGAAGCACAAATCCATCATTCTGTCTCTGTAAATTCCCATGTTAAAAGAGCATGTTTGGGTGTTTAATGAAGCTGATTGCTTTAGCCGATATCCAACTTCAGCTTGGGGTTTTCCTTCACTTTTAATTTGTAGCTGCTGCTCCAATGGTAGCGTTGTACATTTGTTGGCAATCAAATGTACAATATCTGTACTCTCCATAATTAAAGGGATAGTTCACCCAAAACAAATTCTGTCATCATGTACTCACCCACAAGTTGTTCCAAACCTGTATGAGTGTCTTTCTTCTTCTGAACACAAAAGAAGATATTTTGAAGAACATGGTTAACCGAACAGCCCCATTGACTTGCATAGAATGGAAAAAAATACTATGGAAGTCAATGGGGTCCATCAACTGTCTGGTCCCCAACATTCTTCAAAATATCTTCTTTTGTGTTCAGCAGGAGAAAGAAATTCATGGTACATTTTCTCTTTCTTTTGCTTTTCAGGAGCAACGGCTCTTTATTTATTTCTGGGGATGCACCCTGATCTGACCAGTAATTACCCCAGTAGAGAGACGTTTGAGGAGATTCAGTTCTTCAGCGGGCACAACTATCACCGAGGCATCGACTGGTGAGCAGCAAACGTCACCCACGCCGTTCATCTTCACACTGTTAGAGTCTGTATTCATTTCTGTTTTCCTCCCTCTCTCCTGCAGGTATATGGAATATTTCCCCCTCCCGTCCAACAGCAGCTCTGATTATTATTTTGAAAAAAGTGCCAATTATTTTGATTCGGTTGTAGCCCCGTCGAGAGCCGCAGCGCTGCTGCCCAGAGCTAAAATCATCACGGTCCTCAGTGATCCTGCAGACCGAGCGTTCGCCTGGTACCAGGTACCTATACACCACTCATTTACTCATTTACCATAGGTTTGCTTTGGTAACCAACCATTTAGCAGTGGTATTTATAGTAAAATGGTAGTAATCGCAATTAAAATGGTCCTTTCTGAAAATGAAATGTTGTTGTGTGGTATCAGTATATTTATATAACCACTTAAAATCGTGATACCGCACTTATTGTACAGTGATTATCTTAAAGTATCAACATTTCCATAGCGAATGTGGTTTGCACTTTAGGCTTAGTTTATTTTTATTTTGTCTAAACAATTAAAAAATTACAGTTTGAACCTTCAATGTAGACTAACAACTCATTATTATTTCAAATGTACAAAATAATTTAAAATAAATAAAATTGGGCTCAAAATATTTCTTTTTTCTCTTCAGCATCAGAGAGCTCATGCTGACTCTGTGGCCCTGAAATACTCTTTCCATGGTGTCATTACCGCATCCCACAATGCACCTGTGAAGCTGCAGATCCTGCAGAAGCGCTGCCTGGCTCCAGGGTGGTACGCCACACACCTCAAGCGCTGGCTCGACCACTACCACCACAGTCAGGTCTGTGTGTGTATAAGGCTGTATGACTGTATGTTCTTATATAGTGCTTTTATTTATCATATTTCATGCATTACACCCTCACAGATTCTGGTTGTGGATGGACAGATGGTGAAAACAGATCCAGCTTCAGTCATGGAGAAGATCCAGACGTTTCTGGGTTTGGAGAATCGAGTCGACTATCACAAAATACTGGCGTGAGTTTGAGCTGCCAAAATTCATAAATATATATATATATATATATATATATATACTATATTATATTATACTGACAGGTTAATACTTGGCCTCTATCAGCATCCAGAACTATACATTTTATAACAAATATCAGGACATTTTTGCAAGCTACAGTGTCATGCGGTTTTGATAACCTTTCTACACTTCATGTCTGTGTCCTGAGTATTTTCCCTCATTAACTATATGATGTTTTGCAGGTTTGACCCAAAGAAAGGCTTCTGGTGTCAACTGCTGGACGGAGGACAGACCAAGTGTTTAGGGAAGAGTAAAGGACAAAGATACATGGACATGGACACACAGGTACCACACACACACACACACACACACACACACATACACACCTGAACGCCAGCACAACATCTATTCAAGTCAAAGTCAAATGTATTTGTATAACGCTTTTTACACTACACATAGTTTCACAGCAGTTTTACAGAAAGTCATACTGTTGTGTCTATAATGTCTAAGGGCCCTATCGTACACCCAGGCGCGACGCAAGTGTTTTTTGCTAGTTTCAACCCGACGCAGTTTATATTTTCACATCCTGCGCCATGTTGTTTAAATGGCAAATGCATTTGCGCCCATGGGCTATTATGAGGAACTGAAATAGACTTAAACTTAAACCTGGTCTAAAGTCAATGGCGCAATATTTTTTTTGTTATTTAAAGAACGCGTTAGTAATGTGCGCCTATAGGCGGGTCCAACACGCGCGTACACTCTGCTTATTACACACACAGGGACACGCAGCAGCACACAAACACGCCAAATATAAAAAATAAAAGGATTACAATGTAAACGATTATTTTTGTGTACATAAAGACATGGTGGAGTCCGGCTTGTCCCGTAGATGGTCTTTAACCTCGCCCACGAGCAGGTCCGTTTGCTCTCTGGAGACGCGTTCGGTCTTTCCGCTGTGATGGATTTTTTAATGAATAAAATAGTAAACTGTATATCAAACTAATCATAACTCTAACATCTAACCTTACTTCTGTTTTAGGGCTTTAACATTCTAAAATTTGAACAGAATGTACTGTTCAAAACCAGTCGAATACTCATGATTTTGTGTGTGTGTGTGTGTGTGTGTGTGTGTGTGTGTGTGTGTGTGTGTGTGTGTGTGTGTGTGTGTGTGTGTGTGTGTGTGTGTGTGTGTGTAAAAATACCAAATATGGGAAATGAAACTAGACAGATGTCTAGGTTTCAAAACTTGTGATTATGAAGTAATCACAAAAACAGAGTTTGGTTCTACCTAGTAACAGAAGGGTTTGCATATGAAGAACCAATCAAATTGTAGGGAAATTATGTAATGTATCATGTCATTTTTGCTATGCCCCTATTCTATAAAAACTGTTGTATTCCTGTTTGCTGGTGGGATTCTCTGAGAAATGCTCGAGATCCTCCGGCTGTGATTAAAACACATTCGAAGGCATTGACTGAAGTCTGTCGGTGATTAATGCTGTGTAGCAAGTTAGTTAGGGGAACAAGTTAGGGATTGCGAACACGGCCGACGTCGACTGTAGACGCGCTAGAGTATAAATATTATTGAATGGGGACGTCGATTGTAGACGAGACCCAGAGAAACTAACGTCGATTTTAGACGAGACCCAGGTAGACTTAGGTCAGGTGCGAAAATAGAGAAAAATCTGCCACACCGCTTACACATACCGTCATGTAAATGGTGAATCCGCTATGACACGAGCGCAACTGGCTTTTAAAGGGAATGGGAGATGAGACTCTGATTGGTTTATTGAACGTTACGCCCAAAACACACCCATTACTCATTAAGAGACAACCCTTTTAGACCATGTGCCATGTGCCGGACATGCCCTACTTAGTGTTTTACCATAGAGCAAGTTTTAGAGTTTAGTCTTATGATACAAGAGATCCTAGATCTAGCTATATTGTATTAATAGTGTTGTCTAACACATTTATCAGCGCCGCAGAAACTCAGGCACATGTCTGGGTGTTCAAAGACAATTAAGAGATTTTAATATTGGTCAGTATTGCTCTATTAAAAGATTTAAAATTTGGTCGGTTTTACTCTATTTTAAAGCTTTAAATGTTGGTCAATTTTGCTGTATTAAGAGATTTAAATATTAGTTTTGTTCTATCAAGAAATTTTAATGTTGGTCAGTTTTGTTCTGTTAAGAGATTAATATTGGTCAGTTTTGTTCTGTTAAGAAATTAATATTGGTCAGTTTTGTTCTGTTAAGAGATTAATATTGGTCAGTTTTGTTCTGTTAAGAAATTAATATTGGTCAGTTTTGTTCTGTTAAGAAATTAATATTGGTCAGTTTTGTTCTGTTAAGAAATTAATATTGTTCAGTTTTGTTCTGTTAAGAGATTAATATTGGTCAGTTTTGAAATTTAAATGTTGATCAGTTTTGTTCTGTTAAGAAATTAATATTAGTCAGTTTTTTTCTATTAAGAAATTTAAATATGAGTTAAATTTGTTCTGTTAAGAGATTTAAAAGTTGGTCAGTTTATTGTTTAAAGCAAGGTTAAGTAATACTCAAAACGTATTCATGAAAATAAGATTGGATGTCACCGGTGAAAAGTCTGATGCTGTCACGTACTGCTCTGAAACACGAAGGTTGAGGATCCAAATGTAGTATTTATTGGACAGAGGATAATCCAAAGACGTAATCCAAATCCATGCAAGGGTCATACACTAACAAGCAACCCAAACAATAACAGATAAGGGAACAGGCAGAGAATCAATATAACCAGGACACAAACACGCTCAGAATTGCAGGAGAGACACTAAACAAGACTTCGCAGAGAATGAATGAGAAAACCAGGCTTATATGAGGTGAGCTAATCAAGGTAATGAGACACAGGTGAATGTGATCATGGATGATGGTCTGGGCAAAGGATTATGGGGAATGGAGTGTGTGGATGTGTGGTGATTGTCCGCATAGATATTCATAATAAAGGCTAGATGTCTTACGGCGGAGTCTCTATCGTCATCACCGTCAGCCATCTTGTCACAGGCAAGCTTTCTGGCGGGCTCTGTGGTGCCTGATGTAAGATGAGTGATCAGCACGAACACAAATACTCGTCTCGTTGAAATCTTGACGGATTTACAAACGATTTGGTTTCTTACGTTATTAACGTGGCTATAATTCTGGATGATTATTTATTTATACACTTATTATTCATAAGTATGCAGTGTCATAACTACATCTCTGACGTTTATAACAAACCAAACCGTTTGAAAATCGGTAGAAAATTGAGCAAGTTATGGTTATTTAAAAAGTACATGCACCATTAAAACACAATGTTACGAGTGAGCGAGCTGCCTGTGACAAGATGGCCGCCAGGTGCGGACGTCGACCTCCATTGGCCAGCAGCGCGGACGAGACATCTAGCCTTTATTATGGCTATCTATGATTGTCCGGGTTGAAGTGCCCTCTAGTGGTAATCTCTCTCACTGGTGATCGTTAGATGCTCAGGCACTAATTCATTTTAATTTGAGTAGAAGTCATTTAAGCAACAATGTTGAGAAATATAGTGTATGGCTTCAATTATGGTAAATGTTTTGGTTGAAATTTACTTTTGACATTGAAAATGTTTTGGTCATATTGGCCGCAACTACTGTCCAGCAAACTGATTTATTAACTTATTGTACTGAAATATTGAGTTTATTTAAATAGTGTAAATTCACATTGACTGTTTGTCTCTCTGTCAGTCTCAGGTGTTTCTGAGGAACTACTACAGAGACGGTAATATCGAGCTCTCTAAACTGCTGTATAAAATGGGTCAGAGTCTGCCCGGCTGGCTCCGAGAGGAACTTCTCAACATCAGGTAACCGAGTCTCTCGTGATGATGAGTGCCAGAATATCATCCGGACCGGACAACATGTACAGGAGGAACAGTCCAGTTCCAGTTTCAGCCAGTTCATCATGGAAACAGTCAAAGACATTTAAAGAACTGACTTTAAACTCGCTGACACTAGTATTTAAAGGCCAGTGTTTATGAACTAACTCATATCTGTCCTGTTATTGACACTGGATCAGACTGTGCTGAACTATTATGAAGATCTGATTTCATGAAGATCGTCCCGCTGAGCAGAGACTGATGTTGCAAACTTGTGAACAATTTTTTTACTCAACAAATTTGATACAGACTCAATACAGTTTTATAAAGAAGTTAAAAATCATGACAATGAACTAATATAGACATCTGCATTGTTTTTTACATTTGTATCTAGTTCTGTATTTGAGGGTTTGTTTGGGATATTTTTGTTTTCTAACATGGACGTTAAAGGAATCGTTTCACTCACCCTCATGTCTTTCCAAACAGAAGGACCTTCTTTCTTCTGTGATACTCTAAGAATGACAGAAAAGTACCTGACAGTAGTGTGTATGATTTGTGCACTATATTCCAGGTCTTCAGAAGCCATGTGATGCTTTGAGTGACAAACAGACTGTTCATACTATGAAATATCTTCTTTTGTGAATGACATTACTGTGAGTAAATCATTGTTTTTGGTGAACTATCCTTTTAAATTTGCAGCTCTCAAGCTGAATAGTACAGGACTCTAGTTTTGACATCAGCACAGAGACTCATTTCTAATGGAGTACAGCTCTTATAACATGAATTTACCATTTCAAGTGCCATTTAAGTGTTTCTTGTATGAGAAAAGCATGTTTTCATAATGTTATCCTCATTATGGTTGAAACCCAAAACTGGTGATTTTATTAAGGGGAATGTGTTATTAAAGCAATAGTTCATCCAAAAATTAAAATGAGTTTTTTTTTTTTTTACTCACCCTCATGTCCTTCAAAACCCGTATGATTTCAGTGGAAATGAAAAGGCACAAAAATGTATTATGAAGTCAGTCTTCTACGATGTTGACGTTGCCGTTCTTAAATCTCATTCACAGATGCACATTTTCAGGTTTGATGGCAGTGAAATCAAACTCCACTGGCTTTCATGCGTCTCAAACTGCATTTCTCCCTTAATGTTCCTGGATTTTTTTTAGATAAATTACTTTTTTTTTTTCTAGGTGTGAATTTCTCTCATGCATGAAGATGAAATTAAAATGAATTGACTATTGGGCAGATGATGGAAAATAATCACACATCTGTCCTTTATAGGAAATCTGTTGTGATGCCATGGTAAAAATACTGTGGGGTTATCAGTTTTATTACACTAATAGTGTTCCAAAACGTGATATTACCACAGTTTCTATGGATTATTGATGTGTAAATACAAATATATGTAAGTAGATTGAAGCGTCTTTCACTACATGATTCACAAATTCATTCTCATGTTTTCTTTCTGTTTGATGTCTGACCTGGTCAAACAGATGCAGATTGCAATTGAGGAAAATAAACCACACTGCTACTAATGGTGTGTGTGGGTGTGTGTGTGGTTGGTGTGTGTGGTGTGTGTGTGTGTGTTTGTGAGAGAGAGAGATCTTCAGATGGCATTGTTGCTATGGTTACACATTTCCTCATCTCCTAAAAGTGTTTTATGAGTTTAATTACATTCAGATTGTGTTTTGGTTTAAAAAGCTCCACAGAGAGTTTTAGATTATGTGAGTTTCTCTTATAAGCGTCATTTCCAATGAGGTGGGTTTCTTGACACCTTCAGTTGTGTCCAGGGACTTTATTTGTTGTTTTTTTAAAACTAGAAAGCTAATTTATATTTCATGACACCTTAGTAATAATGTATAACGGTGCTGAAGTACACGTGACAAACCACATGGTGGCAGCAGAAGCTTCAGCTATCGTAAGTGTTTGAGGTTTGTGACTATCTGAAGAACTTGTAATGTGAAACTGTCCCATGTCTCAAACATCTAATAGACTGTAAAAAATAGGTCTCAACATAATAACATTCTCTGATAATAGGCTATATGCACCCTATGCACCACGATATCTGCTGTTCAGTTTCCGGTTGGGGAGATTTAAAGTGGAGGAAAACCGAGGAAAACGGGATTAGAGTCTTCAAAATTTACTGTCCTCTCGTCTTTGAAACGAAACTTTAATACGTTTAGATGTAATTTTATATATAGTTATGTTTATTTAATATAATAAACAAAGAAGCATAAACAAAATGAGGGGTGTCTGTTTTGTCTGTTTTTGTGACTAACGTTTCTTTAGTATAGCAATAGAGTATAAAAACCAATATAAATTCGTATAGCATTGGACTCTACGATCGCCGGAAGTAATCCAGCATCCTTAGACCTTCACCGGAAATACCCCCGTGCATAGAGCCCATTCCCTGCTGGAAAACCCATCATAAATCCCGTTTACAACAAGTGCAATAACTATAATGTTTTAATAGTCATTCTAATTCTGAGAATAATAAGTCCATACCACAAGTATTACGATAAGAGGAACCGATATTGTTGGAATCACATTCAGAGCATTTAAAAAAAAAAAAAATCAGCTAATGATGATAAAAACACTGACAGCCAATCAGAATCCACCCAACTGAAGCGTGTCTGAAGCATTGACAGTAAAAGAAATGGACACAGCGACCCCGTTGATTTCAACGGAGAGAGTTGAAGCCCAACATGGGCACTCACTTCCTGATAGCCAAGCGTTCTGCGCAGGCTCAAACTGAGCTTGACGACGTAGTTGTCACGTGAGCAACCGTTCTGACCTTCTAGTAGCTGTGCCGGGACAAATCTGAATTGAAATCTGAAACAAATCTGTTGTTGAAATATTTTGTCCCGTTGCTTTTATGAACTCTCTATCTATGGGCTTCTTCCTTGACTTTATGCCTCCATGTCCCCCCGATTGCCTCATAGACAGTAAACGATTGCCTACGAGCTTCTACTTCTGTCTATACGGTCATTTCTCTACTGTGCGACAGAGCGTCTCGTGGTTATGACGCAATCGTTAGCCTATTTTTACAAGAATGGCTTCTACGGGGCCATAACGTAAGATACAAAGTAATGGAGCCTTTTATACATTGTCGTGTTTCTTTAGAAATAAATAATGGACAAATGGAGTCTTTGGACGCCTCAGATGTAAAGTTATTCGCTGTCAAAGTGACGCCAAAATGAATGGGAGTCAATGGGATGCTAACAGCAGGTGATAGCCAGCTACAATGGCGGCCCCCGGAGGCAGCTTCAACTTCCGGCTGATGGATTACCCCCTTGGTCTGAAGCCCCGTTCTACAAGCGACTTTGTCGCCAGTGGCTGGCGATGAGGTCGCTAGTGGGAGTTCCCACTACTGGTTGCCTTTATGAATGGCATCCAATGATGTGGAGAAGGATCATACGCGCTCCGCTCCTATTGGTTGTCGTTCCCGAAAGTCGCTCCTCATTTGCATAAAGTTAAACAGATCTCAACTTTGTTGCGTCGCCAGACACGCCCCATCCGGTCGGCAACGATCGCTGTCGCGCGTGTCGCCGGAAATCGCCAGCTCCCCATTGAAATGAATGGTATCGCGTCGCTTGGTCGCGTGTAGTGTGAACGGGGCTTGAGACGTGCAGCGTTATTCATTGTGGTGATGTAATTTCCACTGAAACAGGAAGACAGGGCGGGACATAATTGAACAGCTCCTCCCCTTTTAATGCATAGCCAATAGTGTTTGTTTGGTTTATATCACAGCTCGCCTTGAGCCGTTGAGCTCGGTAAGCTGCATTTCCAAGGGGGTAATCCATCGACCGGAAGTTGAAGCCGGCCGGGTGCCGCCATGTTGTAGCAGAACTTCACTTGCGTTAGCATTTCCATTGACTCCCATTCATTTCCAAAGACTCCATTTGTCCATTATTTATTTCTAAAGAAACACGACAATGTATAAAGGGCTCCATTACCTTCTATGTTACATTATGGCCCCGTAGAAACAGATTTAGTAAAAATAGGCTAACGATTGCGTCATAACCACTCGACTCTCTGTCGCGCTGTACAGAAATGACCGTACAGACAGGAGGAGAAGCTCGCAGGCAATCGGGGGGACGTCCCGTCAAGGGAGAAGCCCATAGATAATGAGTCCATAAAAGCAACGGAATACTTACTCCTGCTCACTCACGCCAAAGAACTCTTTGCTCAAGTTCCTCGTCTCTGCAAGATTAACGTTGGCAATTTTCACGCACAGCTACTAGAAGAGTAACGTCTGTCAGACAGGTTGCTCACGTCATCAAGCTTAGTTTGAGTCGGTTTGAGTCTGCGCGTCAGGAACGGAAGTGCTCCAAAATCGCTAAAAATGGGCTTCAACTGTCTCAACTGAGTTCCAATGAGATGGCTCTGTCCACTTCTTATACTGTCTATGTGCATTTCACAGCTAATGACTGTCACAGTCTAATAGATTCCCCCTTTAGGTTTAATTTGAAACTGTTTCTAAAGCAAAACAAGATCATAATAATGCTGAGGATGTGTGTAGTTTGAAAAGTGTGTTATTTATGTTGGTGCATGACACCGTACTCTTCTGTGCTGTTTTTATTGGCGAGTCTAAGCGTTTCTGTTCCTAATATCCTCCATATCACTTTAAAATACAGCGTTCTGTGCTGATTCTGAATTCAAAGGGGTCCGATATGTTTTCTTGTCTGCACCATAGACTGTAAAAAATTATATAAAAAATTCACAGACAACATATGTTCACATTCATTGCAAAATTAAAACGGGATTAGAAAATAATTATTTTCTCTCATTCACTTGCATTGACGATTTTTCAACCTAGAGGTCCAGCGGGGTAAGCGGAAGGGGCGGGACTTTCCAGCTCTATATATAATGTAGGGGGCGGAGCTTTATATTCTGGAGAGCATTTGATTGGACAGAAAATCTGATGAGAAGCTGAAGTGCAGAGTGATGTCATCAAAATCATTGATCCATATTGGCAGAAGTGAGAGACTACGTTTTATATGCTTATGTCGTCTAAATACGAATTTATGTCAGCAAGGCTAACATATTCATACTAAACGCCAAAAAACTTCCATGATTTCATGACTTTAAAGCGCTCGAGCATTTAAACTGGCAGATGACAAAACTCCAGTGTTCACTTATAATAACACAACGCTATCATCAGTTGGTGTGGACGCTAATATAGTTAAAGTTATAGTTATCATTCTTTGTGTTAAAGGGATACTCCACTTTTTTTGGAAATAGTCTTATTTTACAACTCCCCCAGAGTTAAACTGGTGAGTTTTACCGTTTTTGAATCCATTCAGCCGATCTCCGGTTCTGGCGGTACCACTTTTAGCATAGCTTAGCATACATCATTGAAGTGGACAAGACCATTAGCATTTCTAAAAAAAAAATGAGCAAAGTGTTTCGATATTTTTCCTATTTAAAACTTGACTCTTCTGTAGTTACATCGTGCACTAATGATCTACATCGACCCTCATGGTACGGCAGTAAAGTTTCTTGATTATTACGCAGGAATGAGAGTATAGTTCCTAGCCATATCAGCCTAGAAAATCAAGTTCAAGTTTAAATATGAAGAGTTAAGAAGAGTCAAGTTTTAAATAGGAAAAATATCTAAACACTTTGGTAATTTTTTTTGTTGAGAAATGCTAATGGTCTTGTCCACTTCAATGATGTATGCTAAGCTATGCTAAAAGTGGTAAGTTACCGCCAGAACCGGAGATCAGCTGAATGGATTCAAAAACTGTAAAACTCGGGGGAGTTGTAAAATGAGACTATTTCCAAAAAAATTGGAGTATCCCTTTAACGGCCCTGTAGGGTCCATTTTCTTTCTTTTTAATTCTATTTACTTTATTATTAATTCATATGTCTTATTGTGAATGATTCGGTCCATATATTTTAAAGTAAACAGAAGTAAACGGTTGTAAAGTTAAAAGATAATGTCCTGGCAGAAAATGACCAGAATTGTCCTGGTTCCCCCTCTTAGAGAGTAAATATTCACGGTTACCGTTTGTAGCCACCTGAAAGTGTTTTTATTGAAGCTTTGTGTTAAATGCAAATCTTGTTCCATCATCCTGACTGAAATTCGACTAAATCTGTCAAACTTGCATTACATTACACACGAACATCAATCCAAAACTGGACAAGAGTTTGTCAAGACAAATATCGAATGTTGGCTTGACAGCCATCAAAAGTTTTTAAAAAGTTAAAGTTTGAAGGATATGCAGCAATATGTGGTCTGAATTCTTGAGCAGAAGAGAGATTGAGTGGAACTGAGCAGAATATTGAAGGACAGACAGGAAAATAGATGTCAAGCAACTATTAGAAGTTTGTAGGACCGCAGGGGAATGCTTTTTATCCTGGTCTCTCGTAGTCACTGTAAAAATTTCCACAAGTCAACTTTAAAACTTAACCCTGTAATGCATACTGTCATATTTGATGCATTATTTCTAAAGCCTAAGGTTTAACTAACCCTCCTCCTGGAGCCAATTTAGCAAGTAAAAGCCCTTTTAGCTTTTTAGCTAATAGTAAAAACGTTCTCTGAAATCTTTACTGATTTTTTATAAAAGAACTGTTTTTTTTATTGTTTGTAATATTTCTAGATAAAAACTTACTGAAGCAACTTGGGTTTACTTGATAATCCTTACATCATATTTTAGAAAATCATGTTAAAATGCGAGTATCAAATATGATCATCAGGTTTCTGAGGAAGGTCAATCATCATTGTATTGCATTGCATTATGTTTTAAAACTACAGAGCTTTGATCATACAACTAACCATTTAAATATCATCTTAATAAGACATATTTTTGGCAGATATAGAGTGATGACTGATATGTATATGCATTTTATGTAAGTATTCAGTTATAAAGATCTTATTGAAGAAAAAAAACACATGCAAACTTTTTTCTCTCTTATATTTTGTCTAAACTGCTCCATTTAAAAAACAATTTTTTTTCTGAGTATTATTTCATGTCTTTACAGGGTTAAGTTGCTCAGTTGAATTTCGTTTAACTTGTATAGTTTGAAATTATTTATAGAAGTGTTGAACTGAAAAACACACGTTGCCATGATTCAGTGTTTTTAAGAGCATGACTTTCATCCTTTATCTTCCTGCTTGTCTGTAAACAAATGTGTTGCCAGGTAACCGTGTTGTTAACGGAGGGTCGTGTCCGGTATTGTTCCCGAAACGCTTCCCCTCCCCCTGATGCCGGAGTCTGAAACACTCTTCTCCAGCGGCTTTACCAAGGCCTCCGCTCACGGGAACCAATAAACACATTCCTACAGACCATCCTGAAGGAATGTGTACAGGATTCCTGTCAGAATTGACAAACAATCCAAGTAAGAAATTATGTAAGAATCAGAAAATATCCTGATGAAATGCTGATTGTATTTTGACTGTAAAAAAAAAGATTCCTCAAAGTTGTGTAAATCCTAAAAACATTGATTGGGTCTCAATACTGATAATAATAGGAGTCCAATAGAAAACTGTGTTTAAAAAGCAGTTCCACAGACACAAATTTGGATTTCTCTTACATAGCAATGCCATTAAATGGTCAAGTCACATTTATTTCTAAAGCGCTTTATACAATACAGTTAGTCTCAAAGCAGCTTCACAGTAATAAACAGGAAAAAAGTGTGTTAATGTTGTAAAATTAACCATTTTTGAAAGCTCTACAGAAGACAATAGTGTGACTGTTCTGCTCAGTCCAGTTCAGTGTTGGTAATGGTGGCTATGGCTATAATAATACTGACTCATTTGAGTTTTTGTTTTACACTCTTAAAGCGATGCAATAGAAGAAGCACTTCTGGATCCCCAAAGAACCTTTCAGCGAACAGTTCTGAAAAGAAATTTTTTTTCTTTTAATAATCCAAAGAACTTTAAAAGTTCTTCAAAAGTTGAACTATCAATTCCAGTAATAAACCTTTATACTTTAAAGCGTATGAGAAACAGGAATGATACTTAAAAAGACTTCTGAGCAGTGAGATTGACTCATGTGCTTTGTTAGAGAGGTGTGATGTAGTATTGCTCTGTTCTGAGGTGTGTGTGTGTGTGTGTGTGTGTGTGTGTGGTGGGGGTTTCTCTGGGCCCCTCTTTTTCTCGTTTCCTTGGTCACCCTGATGGACACACACACACTTTTGCTATGGCGGGCTCAGAGAAGTGCAGCACCGTGCCGGAGTCTCCTGAACCAGAGCCCTGCGACCGACCACAACTGGACCAGGACCAGAACCAGAAGAAGGAGGAGGAGGATGAGGACGAGGAAGATGAAAGATCTGAACCTCAGAACCAGGAGCCTTCGGATCCGGAGTGTGTGGAGGAGAGATTCCGGATCGACCGGAAGAAGCTGGAGCTCATGCTGTACGGTGTGTGTGTTTGATCGATGACTCTATAATCTGTCATAGTTTTCTTTCCAGACGCTTCATTAATCCGTTCGATTTTTCTATGCAAACCCGTTTAGAAACCAGCCTGTTATGATTTACAGCTAAATGTGCTTGTGTGTGTGTGTGTGAGATGGGCTTCAGATGGATGTGGTGTGTGTGTGTGTGTGTGTGTGCTGGCTCTGCTGTGATGAACAGGTTTAATAGTCTGTTATCATGAGCTGTCCAGGAAGATTCTGGAGTTGAGTCGAGTTAACAGCCTGCGATTCATCAACATGAATCCAGTCGACATTCAAACCCCTCAGAGATGGAGAGCGAGTGACAGATTGAGCTTGTCACATGCAGGAGAAAGCAGGAATCTGGTGCAGATGCTCCTCCGAAAATCAGGGTTATTACTTAGAGCTTCTCTTTTAGAGACGGTTCATTTTAAAATCAACGTAAGATGTCAAATTCCTCATAAATTTTAAAATTATTAATACAAATGTTGTGGAGAGTCTTTGTAAAACTCACTGCTATGATACTAGGGTTTGGTTTTGTAGGTGATTGCTACAGTGTATTTGTCTGGATGGCAGAGTTATTATATTTAACTAAAACCATAAAAACACATTTTTGCGACTAAATAAAATATTTCAAAAATATTTCAGCTTGTTACCAAGGCTACATTTATTTTCGTATTGTTCATTTAGTTTAACTTCATGTACTAAAAAAAACTAAAACTGAAACCAAAAAGTAATAAAAACTGTCCAGATATATAAAAATAAAAAAATAAAAAAAAAGACTAAAACTTTTGGTAACACTTTTGAACATTCTGTTGACTATAGGCAACTTTTCAACTACCGTAAAACTTCAAATAGTAGCCCGGGCTTTTATTTTCCCAAATCGTCGAACTGCACCGGCTTGTATTTGAGACAGGCGTCTATATGAGACAGGCCTTTATAATTTAGTGTTGAGATGTTGTTCATTGATTGTATAGGCCCGTCTCTAATCTCTAAAAATCTCCAAATGCTCCACGTGAAACTGCGGTCTTCCGACCTTTTACTATCGCGTCAATTGATTTTGATTAATATGCGCGAGGGAGAGAGAGCAAGACAGTGCTCGTGTTGTTTGAAGACGTGAGAGTGCGCGCGCGCGGCCGGGGCGCTCTCTCTCTCTCTCTGCTCGTAACGCGCCCTGTCAAGCGCAGCAGTCATCTATTCTTCTTCTTCTTCTTCTTGTATTTCCGGCAGGCTAGACGCAGCTATGGCGTATTGCTGCCCTCCTCTGTTCTCTAATCGCTATATACAACTTTAATACTGCTTATCTATATCTTTTTATATACTCCAATATTTCGCAAATACTCCATCAATTTTTTTAATTTTTCCCAACTGTCCAAATTCAATAAAGAGCATAAATTAAAAACAGTTTCTCCTGTTGCTCCCAATTCCCTAAACAATTTCTTCCTTTGCTGAGAGTACCTCCTGCACTGCATTAATATATGCACCACTGTTTCCTTTTCTCCACATTCACACTGTCCATCAGGATGTTTACCAATCAGAGCCAGCCCACCCCTCAGCCCACAATGCCCAAACCTCAATCTAGATAACACTACTGCATCTCTTCTCTGATATCTATAATTACATCTGTCTTTCTCTACCATTTTTTGTACTGAGTAATACGCTCTCCCATTCCTTTCACAATCCCATGACCTTTGCCACATTTCTTTTACTGACCTATTTATTATTTCCGTGTAATCTGGTAACCCATGCTGCAAATCAAGTTGAACTCTTTCCTCCTTCACTGCTTTCTTTGCCACCTCATCTGCCTCCTCATTACCCTCCACACCCATGTGTGCCGGCACCCACAGTCATCTATTCTACATCACTCATCGATCAAAAAAGGCTTTGGAGGGACAAAAAATTAGCTTTGGCTACCGCCAAAAAGCGGACAATCTGACGGTTTTAGAGGATTAAATACAACCCGGAACTAAAAAACAGACCCGGCCTCTATTTGAGACCGGCCTTTATTTACTCAAACCTGCTGCCACACCAGGCGTGTAAAAGAGACAGGCGTCTATTTGGGACTCGGCTATTATTTGAAGTTTTACGGTACATGTCTACTAACTCTCAGTAGATTATTAGTAGAATGTCTGCTTAATATTTGCTAACTCTTTATTGTTATGGTCCCCCAAACAGACATTATGCTGACTACAAGTAACTTTGCAAGTATATGTCAACTTATTCTAACCCTAACCCTACCAGTCTACTAATACTCTACTAACACTAATGAGGGTTAGTAGACATGTAGGTGCAATGTTACTTATAGTCAACAAAATGTGTTAAAGAGACCATCAAAATAAAGTGAAACCAAACTTTTAACTAAAATGAAGATGTCAAAATGTTTATTAACCAGGTTATTAGGGAATAGATGGTTGCTAAATAGTTTATTTCCATCTGAAGTGTCTCTTTCTGTGATCTTCTGGTCTGGAGATATGATTAGATATGTGTGTTCTGGTCTGTAGATATGATTAGATATATCTGTGTGTTCTGGTCTGTAGATATGATTAGATATGTCTGTGTGTTTTGGTCTGTAGATATGATTAGATATGTCTGTGTGTTCTGGTCTGTAGATATGATTAGATATATCTGTGTGTTCTGGTCTGTAGATATGATTAGATATATCTGTGTGTTCTGGTCTGTAGATATGATTAGATATGTCTGTGTGTTCTGGTCTGTAGATGTGATTAGATATGTCTGTGTGTTCTGGTCTGTAGATATGATTAGATATGTCTGTGTGTTCTGGTCTGTAGATATGATTAGATATATCTGTGTGTTTTGGTCTGTAGATATGATTAGATATGTGTGTTCTGGTCTGTAGATATGATTCGATATGTCTGTGTGTTCTGGTCTGTAGATATGATTAGATATGTCTGTGTGTTCTGGTCTGTAGATATGATTAGATATGTCTGTGTGTTCTGGTCTGTAGATGTGATTAGATATGTCTGTGTGTTCTGGTCTGTAGATATGATTAGATATGTCTGTGTGTTCTGGTCTGTAGATATGATTAGATATATCTGTGTGTTTTGGTCTGTAGATATGATTAGATATGTCTGTGTGTTCTGGTCTGTAGATATGATTAGATATGTCTGTGTGTTCTGGTCTGTAGATGTGATTAGATATGTCTGTGTTCTGGTCTGTAGATATGATTAGATATGTCTGTGTGTTCTGGTCTGTAGATATGATTAGATATATCTGTGTGTTCTGGTCTGTAGATATGATTAGATATGTCTGTGTGTTCTGGTCTGTAGATATGATTAGATATGTCTGTGTGTTCTGGTCTGTAGATGTGATTAGATATGTCTGTGTTCTGGTCTGTAGATATGATTAGATATGTCTGTGTGTTCTGGTCTGTAGATATGATTAGATATGTCTGTGTGTTCTGGTCTGTAGATATGATTAGATATGTCTGTGTGTTCTGGTCTGTAGATATGATTAGATATGTCTGTGTGTTCTGGTCTGTAGATGTGATTAGATATGTCTGTGTGTTCTGGTCTGTAGATATGATTAGATATATCTGTGTGTTTTGGTCTGTAGATATGATTAGATATATCTGTGTGTTTTGGTCTGTAGATATGATTAGATATGTCTGTGTGTTCTGGTCTGTAGATATGATTAGATATATCTGTGTGTTCTGGTCTGTAGATATGATTAGATATATCTGTGTGTTCTGGTCTGTAGATATGATTAGATATATCTGTGTGTTCTGGTCTGTAGATGTGATTAGATATGTCTGTGTGTTCTGGTCTGTAGATATGATTAGATATGTCTGTGTGTTCTGGTCTGTAGATATGATTAGATATATCTGTGTGTTTTGGTCTGTAGATATGATTAGATATGTGTGTTCTGGTCTGTAGATATGATTCGATATGTCTGTGTGTTCTGGTCTGTAGATATGATTAGATATGTCTGTGTGTTCTGGTCTGTAGATATGATTAGATATGTCTGTGTGTTCTGGTCTGTAGATGTGATTAGATATGTCTGTGTGTTCTGGTCTGTAGATATGATTAGATATGTCTGTGTGTTCTGGTCTGTAGATATGATTAGATATATCTGTGTGTTTTGGTCTGTAGATATGATTAGATATGTCTGTGTGTTCTGGTCTGTAGATATGATTAGATATGTCTGTGTGTTCTGGTCTGTAGATGTGATTAGATATGTCTGTGTTCTGGTCTGTAGATATGATTAGATATGTCTGTGTGTTCTGGTCTGTAGATATGATTAGATATATCTGTGTGTTCTGGTCTGTAGATATGATTAGATATGTCTGTGTGTTCTGGTCTGTAGATATGATTAGATATGTCTGTGTGTTCTGGTCTGTAGATGTGATTAGATATGTCTGTGTTCTGGTCTGTAGATATGATTAGATATGTCTGTGTGTTCTGGTCTGTAGATATGATTAGATATGTCTGTGTGTTCTGGTCTGTAGATATTATTAGATATGTCTGTGTGTTCTGGTCTGTAGATATGATTAGATATGTCTGTGTGTTCTGGTCTGTAGATGTGATTAGATATGTCTGTGTGTTCTGGTCTGTAGATATGATTAGATATATCTGTGTGTTTTGGTCTGTAGATATGATTAGATATATCTGTGTGTTTTGGTCTGTAGATATGATTAGATATGTCTGTGTGTTCTGGTCTGTAGATATGATTAGATATATCTGTGTGTTTTGGTCTGTAGATATGATTAGATATGTGTGTTCTGGTCTGTAGATATGATTAGATATGTCTGTGTGTTCTGGTCTGTAGATGTGATTAGATATATCTGTGTGTTCTGGTCTGTAGATATGATTAGATAAGTCTGTGTGTTCTGGTCTGTAGATATGATTAGATATGTCTGTGTGTTCTGGTCTGTAGATATGATTAGATATGTCTGTGTGTTCTGGTCTGTAGATGTGATTAGATATATCTGTGTGTTCTGGTCTGTAGATATGATTAGATAAGTCTGTGTGTTCTGGTCTGTAGATATGATTAGATATGTCTGTGTGTTCTGGTCTGTAGATGTGATTAGATATGTCTGTGTGTTCTGGTCTGTAGATATGATTAGATATATCTGTGTGTTTTGGTCTGTAGATATGATTAGATATATCTGTGTGTTTTGGTCTGTAGATATGATTAGATATGTCTGTGTGTTCTGGTCTGTAGATATGATTAGATATATCTGTGTGTTTTGGTCTGTAGATATGATTAGATATGTGTGTTCTGGTCTGTAGATATGATTAGATATGTCTGTGTGTTCTGGTCTGTAGATGTGATTAGATATATCTGTGTGTTCTGGTCTGTAGATATGATTAGATAAGTCTGTGTGTTCTGGTCTGTAGATATGATTAGATATGTCTGTGTGTTCTGGTCTGTAGATATGATTAGATATGTCTGTGTGTTCTGGTCTGTAGATATGATTAGATATATCTGTGTGTTTTGGTCTGTAGATATGATTAGATATATCTGTGTGTTTTGGTCTGTAGATATGATTAGATATGTCTGTGTGTTCTGGTCTGTAGATATGATTAGATATATCTGTGTGTTTTGGTCTGTAGATATGATTAGATATGTGTGTTCTGGTCTGTAGATATGATTAGATATGTCTGTGTGTTCTGGTCTGTAGATATGATTAGATATGTCTGTGTGTTCTGGTCTGTAGATGTGATTAGATATGTCTGTGTGTTCTGGTCTGTAGATATGATTAGATATGTCTGTGTGTTCTGGTCTGTAGATATGATTAGATATATCTGTGTGTTCTGGTCTGTAGATATGATTAGATATGTCTGTGTGTTCTGGTCTGTAGATGTGATTAGATATATCTGTGTGTTCTGGTCTGTAGATATGATTAGATAAGTCTGTGTGTTCTGGTCTGTAGATATGATTAGATATGTCTGTGTGTTCTGGTCTGTAGATATGATTAGATATGTCTGTGTGTTCTGGTCTGTAGATATGATTAGATATATCTGTGTGTTTTGGTCTGTAGATATGATTAGATATATCTGTGTGTTTTGGTCTGTAGATATGATTAGATATGTCTGTGTGTTCTGGTCTGTAGATATGATTAGATATATCTGTGTGTTTTGGTCTGTAGATATGATTAGATATGTGTGTTCTGGTCTGTAGATATGATTAGATATGTCTGTGTGTTCTGGTCTGTAGATATGATTAGATATGTCTGTGTGTTCTGGTCTGTAGATGTGATTAGATATGTCTGTGTGTTCTGGTCTGTAGATATGATTAGATATGTCTGTGTGTTCTGGTCAAGCAGGTGAAAATGGTGCATCTGATCACTCACACAATAATCTCCTCAACAACACACATGATTTGAGGAATCATTCATTACTGGAGCACAAACGCTGCACTTACACACCCTACTTTCACACTGGTTCTTGCTTTAATCTCTTTCCTCTGTGTGTGTGTGTGTGTGTGTGTGTGTGCTGTATAGCTGCTCAGTGTGTTTTTTAGTGGTGTGTGTTTGCTCCTTTCACAGGGAGGGGAATTAGTTTTGCGTCAGCGTCGTTTGCTCTAACATAACTTTGCTGTTTGACGCCATTTCTCAGAAGTGACTTTGTGGTCTTTTTCTTTTTTGTGTAAAAAAACACACACACACACACACACACACACACACACACACACACACACACACACACACACACACACACACACACACACACACACACACACACACACACACACACACACACACACACACACACACACACACTCACACACACTGGTTGTTCAGTCATTCTTGGTTGCAGAGCTGTGTAACCCGTGGTGATGAGGAGCGGCAAATGAAAGGAGGGATGTTCTGCCTAACCCTGTAAATGTCACTCTGGGGCAAATGTGTTTAACTTTACCACCCCTGCACACACACACATAGAGAGAGAGAGAGAGAGAGAGAGACAGACTGTCTTTACTCTTTTTAAATCTTAAGATGTTGTTTGAGTTGTGTAGTTTCTTTAGAGAACTCACCCAGACAGTTTTAACAATCCAAACCACATCCATCCATCAGTCCATCTACATATAGTTTAGAAATAGGCAATGTGTAAACAGAGCACAATATGAAAAATATGGTATTAAGAATGCAAAATATGCAATATGAATTTAGAGAACTATCACATGAACACAGTTTGAACAACCCAAAAACACACACAGTATTTATTTACTTTTTATATATTTATATATTATTTATGTTTATTTTATTTCTTTATGTTATTTAATATACTATTATTTATGAATTATTAATGGTATTTATTGGTTAACCATAAAGTGTAATATAAAAAAAATTATAATAAAATTCAAATGTTTATTGTCTTTAGAGAATCACATGGAGACAAAATTTTACCTATCCAAAAACACACACAGTAACATTTATTTATGTATTTGTTTGTTTGTTTCACTAACATTTACATTATTGGTAAAGCATATAAAGTATTATATAGTCTACATATATCTAGAAATAGCCAATATAGAAAATGTGTGAGCAGAGCATGCAAAATATGCAATATAATAAATGTAATATTTAAATTATGTTCATTATTACATTTTTTATAATATATACTTTAAATATCTTTAATGAAATATGATATATCACCTTGTCTTTAGCTCCTGCAGAATGTTCTGGATTGTCAGGCGAGGAGTTCTTCGAGAAGGTAAGAGTTCAATTAATACATCTAATATTAACTTTAATCAGCCTTTAATAAGTGCCACAGTGGACCACATTCTCATTTTCATATTTAAGCGTTTATGTGAAGAACCTCGCTATAAATTAGGCTCTTTGGCGTGACTGTGAATCACACGACCATCTAGAAATCCTGTCAAACCAGCTCAAGTGATTTAGTTCCAAACACACTGAACAGATTAAGGTGTTATGAAGGCAAAACGAGGAGCTTTGAGATGCTAATGAGCCATTGTTCCTGATGAATGGAGGATCTGAAGATGCAAATTGAATGTCTTTTGAACGGTGAGTTTCCCTTCCTTACACACTCATTGTTTCAGGTGATGAGAGAAACACACACGCAGGTGAAATGGCCGTCCAAGCTGAAGATCGGTGCGAAATCAAAGAAAGGTGAGTGATGTCACACTTCTGTCATCATTGACCCTCATGTTAGTTCAAACACAAAAAAGAGGCATTAGCTTAATGTTCGAGCTGCTGTTTAAGGCCAAAAAGTTCAAATGCTCCATAAAAGAATCATAAAAGTGCACTCAAAGTTGTAAATGGAACAATGATTATTGTTTTACAAGAAAATACTTTTCAATTTCAGTTTTTCTACTTCTAAAATGTCATGTTTAATTCAATGTGTGTCTTACCGTTTCTTTAATTATTTGTGAAATTGACTCGTTTCTGAGTGAAAGTTTCAAAGGAAATCTTCATTTTTGTTCTAGTGTGTCATAAAACTAGTCAGTATGACTCTTGCATTATATGCCATTGTCAAGTGTTTGGTTACATGCAATTGCATTTGCCGTCACTGACATCTGTCCTGGTGCAATGCATCTTCATACATTATGTTTGAATGTGCAGATGAGATTTAAGAGATAGAGACGTACGAGTTTAGAAAGACATGTGGGGAGTAAATAGCTGTTTCCATCCACTTATTTTTATGCGCATTTTGGGATATTGTATAAAAAACGCTGGCTGGAAACGCCAAGATGTGCATAAATTCTAAAAATGCACATAAAAAAAGCATGCACTCAAATAAGGCTGATAATTTTTTTATAGTTAAATGATTTTTCTTTAGTGCTGACATAAATCAAAGCCACTTTTTATTATCTAATCAAAACCCAATGCATCTCCATCCACATTTCCCCCACTGAATAGTTAGTTTAGCGCAGAAGCATTGTGCTTGAAAATTCATTGTGATGATTTGTGTTTCTCTCTAGATCCTCATGTTAAAGTGGAGGGGAAAAGAGCAAACGTTCTGGAGGCCAAACGGATGATTCTGGAGCTTCTTGAGACTAAGGTGAGATTTGACCTCCTTTCATTTCTCTTAAAGGGATAGTTCACCCAAAAATACCCAATGATTTACTCACTCTCAAACCATCCTAGGTGTATATGACATTCTTCCTTCAGATGAATACAATCTGAGTTATATTAAAAAATGTCCTGGCTCTTACAAGCTTTATAATGGCAGTGAATGGGCACTATTTTTTGAAGTCCATTAAATTGCATCCATCCATCATAAAAGTGTCCCAAACGGCTCCGAGGGGTTAATGAAGGCCTTCTGAAGCGAAGCAATGCGTTAACGTAAGAAAAATATCCATATTTAAAACTTTAGCGACTAAAATAACTAGCTTCCAGCAGATTTACAGTGGAAGAGTAACACTTGACCTGACGCACAACGTAATGACGAATGCGCAGAGGATAGAGCAAAACAAAACACGAGTTAGAAGTCTAAAACGACAATTTTTAAAGAGAAATGTTGGAAGAGCTTAAGTTTTCTGTTTGTTTGAACCGCGAGAGGCGTCTAAACTCACGCTACTCCTACATCCGTCATACATCGCCAAGTGTTACTCTTTTGGCGTAAGTCGACTTGCGTAGGCCGTCTCCCGAGAGCTAGTTATTTTAGTCAATAAAGTTTTAAATATGGATATTTTTCTTACACCAATGCATTGCTTCGCTTTAGAAGGCCTTTATTAATCCCTCCGTTTGGGACACTTTTATGATGGATATGATGCACTTGTATGGACTTAAAAAATAGTGCCTATTCACTCCCATTATTTAGCTTGTAAGAGCCAGGACATTTTTTTATATAATTCCGATTGTATTCATCTGAAGGAAGAATGTAATATACACACCTAGGATGAGGGTGAGTAAATTATGGGCTAATTTTCATTTCTGGGTGAGCTATCCCTTTAAGGAGTGTGTTTATCTGTCCTGTGGAGATCTCACACCAACACACCTGTGCACAGGTGAATAAAGTCACGCTGAAGATGGACGTCACACACACGGAGCACTCTCATGTGATCGGGAAAGGGGGCGGGAACATTAAGAAGGTCATGGAGGACACTTCCTGTCACATTCACTTCCCCGATTCCAACCGGAACAACGGCACGGGAGAAAAGAGCAACCAGGTACTCCGATATGAACCCACAGCATTTCTTCTCATCATTGTAGAAGCGTATTGTTTGAAACATACTTCATTTTTCTCATACGTGCAGGTGTCCATCGCCGGGCCGGTTCAGGGGGTGGAGTCTGCGCGGAGACGCATCCGGGTCAGTGAGGCATCATTATAATAAACATTCATTATATGTGACTTTATATTCAGTATTCATATATTTATATTCAAATATGTGTTTTTATGTCTCATATTTCTGCCCTTATTTAAAATAAAATATAGCTTAAAGAAAAGTTACTTGCTTTGTAACATTGTTTTTATGATAATATAACACATTTTTATATTTAATTAATATAATAATTACAATATAAACCATATAATGTATATTAAAATATATTAAAATATTAAATTATAATCATTATAATCTTATTTTTGTATAAAATATTTATAGTTTTGTTCGTTTTTATATTTAATTTTTTTTTTATTTTTTTTTCATTTTAATTTTAGTACAAGCTTACAAATGTTTTTTTTTTTTTTTTCATTTTTATTAGTTTTTTTTTAAATTAAATATGTGTTCATTTTAATAATTTTCTAGTTTTAGTTTATTTAGTTATTTTAGTATTTCATATTTTCATATATTAAACGTAAATGAGAAATGTTGCTTTGGTGACTAGCCGAAATTGTATTTTATTTCAGTTCATTATTTTATTTCAAGTAACTTTTAGTTAACAATAATAACCCTGATTATAATATTAATATAATTTATATATTACAAAATATAATTTAGATTTTTATGTTTTATCATTGTAATATTTGTTATTTTACCTTTCAATTTTACACTGATTTAAAAATATTGTACTACAGTGGTGAAAATCTAGTGAGAATCACCATGAAGAATAATAGGAATTAATGAGGCTGTCATTGGTGATAAATGTGTGTGCATGTGAATCTGGTGTGATTTGCCTAAGTTTGTGACCTGCAGGATCTGCAGCCCCTGGTGCTGACCTTTGACCTCCCCGTGACCCTTGTGGGGGGTGTTGTGGCAGACACGGGGTCTCCGGTGATCCAGCACGTGGCTCAGGCGTTTGGAGTGAGCGTGAGCTTCAGATCGCAGCCCAAACTTTACTGCAGCTCCTGCAGCGTGAGAGGAGTGCAGGGAAACACTGATGCCCTGAAGGTGACGCGTGTGATCATGTGATCAGATATGACATCATTACACAACCCTGCATCTTAAAATATTCTGCTGATTTGCAAAAAGGCTTGATATTACCAAGTTAAAAAATACCAGTAAAAACTTTCTCTAATGTACTTTTTTTTTCTTTCACAATTTTTCAAATGATATACAGGTCCTTCTCAAAAAATTAGCATATTGTGATAAAGTTCATTATTTTCCATAATGTAATGATAAAAATTAAACTTTCATATATTTTAGATTCATTGCACACCAACTGAAATATTTCAGGTCTTTTATTGTTTTAATACTGATGATTTTGGCATACAGCTCATGAAAACCCAAAATTCCTGTCTCAAAAAATTAGCATATCATGAAAAGGGTCTCTTAACGAGCTATTAACCTAATCATCTGAATCAACTAATTAACTCTAAACACCTGCAAAAGATTCCTGAGGCTTTTAAAAACTCCCAGCCTGTTTCATTACTCAAAACCGCAATCATGGGTAAGACTGCCGACCTGACTGCTGTCCAGAAGGCCATCATTGACACCCTCAAGCAAGAGGATAAGACAGAAAGAAATTTCTGAACAAATAGGCTGTTCCCAGAGTGCTGTATCAAGGCACCTCAGTGGGAAGTCTGTGGGAAGGAAAAAGTGTGGCAAAAAAACGCTGCACAACGAGAAGAGGTGACCGGACCCTGAGGAAGATTGTGGAGAAGGACCGAATCCAGACCTTGGGGGACCTGCGGAAGCAGTGGACTGAGTCTGGAGTAGGGCTGCACGATTAATCGAATTTTAATCACGATCGCGATTTTGGCTTCCCACGATCAAATTCGCGTGACCGAGCGATATTTAAAATGCGTCATTACATTCACAGAACACTCCGTATCAAAGTTTTTTTTTTTTTTTGTAAAGCCAATCTAGCGCTCCGTAAACCACTGTCTGATCACGTGCCTCCATGAGCCCGAGTGCGCGAGAGAGACCGTCTGCGCGCGAGCGACAGTGCACGAGAGACCGAGTGTCCAAGAGCGCGCTCGAAAGTGCGCGAAAGATACCGAGTGTGTCTGCGTACGAGCGACAGCGCGCGAGAGAGACCGATTGTGTCTGCGCGCGAGAGAGACCGAGTGACGGTGCGCGTGAGAGACCGAGTGTGAGCATTAGTAAATTGGTACATACATACTACATATTAATATGGCATGAAAGTTCGATTAATGGACTCCAATAATCAGTACTACAAACTCTTGTTTTGAACTATTGTTTAATAAGTAGAAATAATTCAAGCACATACACTTTGGAGGATTAAATAAGATTCAATTTATGCAGTAAGACTAATCACTGACACTGTACCACAACATTTTACATTTCTTAAGCGTCAAATAACAATGACTCTGAATTTCATCCATTAATCGAACTTCCATAGTGCTAAGTGCTTAGTTCTGCCTTGAAATGTTCTCATTTGGTTACATTCTGTTATGGAATATTTGTTTTTTATTGATTGTATATTTTGTGCGTTTTATTCACATCCATTATGCAGGTACAATGCAAGTTTATATTTTTATTTTATATTTACACAATGTAAAATAGTGCCCTGTTGAAGTTTTGCTACATTTTCTTTATTGTTTTATTTGTTTTTATTTATTCTTTAAAGAGATGCACTGAATTTTGGTGAATAAGAGGACCTGTTTTATTTTGATGCACATAGTTGTACATTAGCAGGAATGTAGCATAATGTGAAAGCAGTTATAATTAGCCTATGTGACAATAACATTTGTTTTGGTTAAAATCAACAAATAATCGTGATAATTAATCGTGATCTCAATATTGATAAAAATAATCGTGATTATCATTTTGGCCCAAATCGTGCAGCCCTAGTCTGGAGTCGAAACATCCAGAGCCACCGTGCACAGGCGTGTGCAGGAAATGGGCTACAGGTGCCGCATTCCCCAGGTCAAGCCACTTTTGAACCAGAAACAGCGGCAGAAGCGCCTGACCTGGGCTACAGAGAAGCAGCACTGGACTGTTGCTCAGTTTTGCATGTCATTCGGAAATCAAGGTGCCAGAGTCTGGAGGAAGACTGGGGAGAAGGAAATGCCAAAATGCCTGAAGTCCAGTGTCAAGTACCCACAGTCAGTGATGGTCTGAAAAGCTTTATGGAGATGAAGCTTTCATTTTTCAGCACGGCCTGGCACCTGCTCACAGTGCCAAAACCACTAGTAAATGGTTTACTGACCATGGTATTACTGTGCTCAATTGGTCTGCCAACTCTCCTGACCTGAACCCCATAGAGAATCTGTGGGATATTGTGAAGAGAAAGTTGAGAGACGCAAGACCCAACACTCTGGATGAGCTTAAGGCCGCTATCGAAGCATCCTGGGCCTCCATAACACCTCAGCAGTGCCACAGGCTGATTGCCTCCATGCCACGCCGCATTGAAGCAGTCATTTCTGCAAAAGGATTCCCGACCAAGTATTGACTATTGAGTGCATAACTGAACATAATTATTTGAAGGTTGACTTTTTTTTTGTATTAAAAACACTTCTTTTATTGGTCGGATGAAATATGCTAATTTTTTGAGACAGGAATTTTGGGTTTTCATGAGCTGTATGCCAAAATCATCAGTATTAAAACAATAAAAGACCTGAAATATTTCAGTTGGTGTGCAATGAATCTCAAATATATGAAAGTTTAATTTTTATCACTACATTATGGAAAATAATGAACTTTATCACAATATGCTAATTTTTTTAGAAGGACCTGTATGTATATGTATGGAGCCCCTAGAGGGACACGGTGAAAGAAAAAAATACAAGATGGAAGGAAAAATTATATGTCAACGTTTGCTCGCAAAACTTTTGGGTTCAACCGAGAAATTTTGTGTTCTTTCGCAAAGAACACAATATTAACTGTCCAACACCCACAGATGTAGCAGAAAACATCTGGTCATGTCATGTTATTGGCCATGCTAATTCTAAACTTGAAATAAGGATTAGGCATAAAATAATGTCATATATGTGGAAATCGGCTGAGAATCGAAATGATAGTTGCAACCTGCAAGAGTTCAAGAGTGCAAGAGTTCTAGTTCACTGTACAAATGGATGTCAAAAATGCTACAAAATACACATCATGTTTTGTGAGAAAGTATTATTTTTGTAACCGGCACCCCAAAATTAGTAAGAAACAAGTATGTGATTTCATTCAGCAAACATGTTTCAGGGTGGTGTGATTACTCCTTGACCTTTGACCTCTGCAGAAGGCGACGTGTGTCCTCATGGAGCTGCTGCTGGGCTCGGGTTTGACAGGAGTGATGGTGAGCACACAGCTGGACGTCACCTCACAGCAACACTTGTTCCTGTTGGGTCAAAACGGAGCGAACTTCCTCACCGTGATGCATCAGACACACACACAGATCATCCTGCCCGACCTCAGCGCTCCGCAACACACACCCTCGCTCCTCATCCAGGGCACGGCTGACGGAGTGTGTCTCGCTCGACAGCAGCTGATGGTACAAACCTGTGTGTGTCTGCTATATTAGTATACAGTGTACATAGGAATTTACTTCAAGTACAGTTAAAGTATTTCAAGTATAAAAATGAATACCTAAATACAAATAGGAATATAGTAGTACAGAAGTGCAAAAATAATATAAATAGTGAGATGCAGTGTTATTTTAATAAATTTTATGTAGTATTATTGTTTTATTAATATTTTAAAATTGTTTTTATTTGAGTACTTTCCTGTTTCATTTTTATTTTAATTATTAAAAGTAATTTTGCATTTTTTCGTCATTTTAATCAGTTTTTTTTAAATGTCTCTATATAGTTTACATTCATTTTCAATTAATTAATTCTGATTCTGACAGGATTAGCCGCATAATGGATTGTCAGCATACACGGCACGCATGAAATACTAAACAATAACATATTTATAAGAATCTGTCAGTGTGTTTGTCTCGTCTGGGCCGTCCTGCTCTTGTCTGACTGTGTCTGTTCTCATGCAGGACTGTCTGCCTGTCTGTCTGATGTTTGATTTGAAGGACGAGGGAGATTCTGACCCACGGAAACTCGCTCAGATGATGCAGAACCTGGGAGTTTTTATCAGCGTCAAACCGAAGGTCAAGCAGACAGCGAAGGTACTACAGCACAGCGCCCACAATGCACCTGTCAAAATAACCTATGCATACAAATATTCAATTCAATTCAAATTTATTTGTATAGCGCTTTTCACAATACATATTGTTTCAAAGCAGCTTTACAGAAAGTGCATTTCAGAAGTGTACATAGAAAAATACAGTTAGTTAAATATGAAATGTATATACTACAGACTAGAATTACGAGTACATACTTCATGGTCTTGATACAGCAGGCATACATTTTTAGGAGCGTTAATTATTTTAAAAAGTATCATAATTTCACTTTTAGGTTCAAAGAGGTAAAATGTCTAGGAATAGTTCACCCCATAATCAAACAAATAAATAAAAATGTATGTAATATATCAAAAAAAAATATGTTTCGCTCATGGGGAAATTAAGTTTATTTTTAGGACAGTAAGAGTTTTTGCAGTGTGACATTTATATACTTTAAATCATATACAAATACTGAAAACTATATACAAATATTATAGCATTTTATTAATATTATATAATATAAAAAAACTAATATTAATATATTATAGACTTTTTTTTATTTTTAAGTATTATGTTAACCTTTTTTTTTTTTTTTTTTTACAACAATTAGCATTAAATATTGTTTTAAAAACAACTAACATTGTTTCAACCACATTTCCTCTGGTTTTCTTTTTCTGCTCATGTATGCATGTATAACTGTTTAAAGTGTCTGTCCAGTCAGTGGTTGTGAAAGGTTTGGAGAGGAACATCATGAACCTCTATGAGGCCAGACGTCTGCTGCTCGGGCTGGACTCCAGTGAGGTCTCGGGGACCAAGACCCCTGTGGACCCTCTGGTGGCCAATAATGGAATCACAGGCTACTGGCTCAAGGTGTTAATGCAACAACTGTGCCTCACTGAGACAGGTGTGTGTGTGTGTCAGTGGTTCATGAGTGCTTTCATCCTCTTTAATTTCATTAATGCTTGTTTGCTGTGCTAAATAAACTGTTTTTGTACCTGTCATTCTTCATGCGCTGTGCCCTCTCCAGATGCTGTGAATGGCTCTCCCCCTGGGAAGCCCCGCCCCACACCACCACCCGGATTGGCTGTTACATCAGAGGATGGACGGATAGGACTCAAAGGAGTGGAGTCTAAATTAGAGAAGGTTACAAGGATCAGAATCCTGATTATGTTTAGAATGGACTTACTAGTCTACTACATACTGTATATATATCACAGCATCTGTCTAGAACATGTTTTGGTCATATTTCACCCCATAATAATAATAAAAAATGTATCTAATATATAATTTGCCCATAGAAAATGAAACCTATTTTAAGATTTGTTTTTTTCATCATTACATTAAATGATAATTTAACTTTTTTTTAAAAAATAATATAATAATTCGCATTTAAGTTATATAATATACATCTATACACAAATATAAAATAATATATATTACATTTACAAAAAGATTATTTGAAATTGTAAAGTATTTATACATCTAGTTGTATATTTCACAATATTTGTCAAAAGTTGCAGGTCATCCAGGTGTTTCATGCATATAACTAATCATATTGATTGATCAACTGACTGCATGATTCACGCAACTTATACTTCTTCAATTAAAATGTATGTTTATTAATATAATGCTAAAGTAAATGAGATTTAATTGGCAGTAAACGTGTTTATAAGTAAACAAAACCAAAATCTTGTATTAATGTCATTGTATCAGATTCCAGAGAACGACGATCCGCAGACACAAGCAGAGACGGAGTCCTGCGTCTCGCCACATGCGGAGGTGACAGAGGTTAGAGAGGTCGTTGCCAAGACAACTGTCTCATCAAGGAGAGGCAGCCAATCAGAGGCCTTCAGGGAGCCAAACCAGCCACTCACGTCTGAGAGGTAAAACCCTCCGTCCAGACTGGCAGAACATGCTCTGGATTACGCTCTAGAATATATCCCTGAATAAATCTGTGTGTGTGTTTCAGGTCAGTGAGGGTGGAGGTGGATGGTGTTTATTTGAACAGAGACAGACGCTGTAGTCTGAGGATATTCCCCTCCGCCGATCCTCATACTGAGGTACATCACTCTCACATTTTTAGAATGAAATAAAACTGTAGCTATTAATCAAAAAGGAAGGTTTTGTCAGATTTAGCAATTATAGTTCACAACTAAAAGCATTTGTCTTACCGGTTTATTTAAACAATCTTTGTTCACTGTTTGTTTAACAGGACCATGAATACGAGAGAAAAAAGCATCTGGCAACTCAAGGTTTGTTTGTTTTTATTCAGGACTCGAAACATTAGATCTAAAATATGTTATTATATTATATTATATCATATTATCATCACTACTAGTAATATTTTTTGTTGTTTCAGTTTTACTATTATTTTCAAATTAAGAGCCATTCAATAAGTACTGTATGAACATATCTTAGTCATTATTCACCCCATAATAATAAAAAACGTATCAAATAATAAAACTAATAAAAATGTAAGCCTATTTTAGGAATGTTAAATTAACATAAAATAATGTCACAATACAAAAAAACGGGGCTGATTAATGACAGTGAGACTGTTGTTTCTGAGGTTTTTGTGATGAATATTTATGTTTTAGATAATGTTCATACCCTCTCATATTTAGTTCTTACCAATGAAGTTTAGATCGACGTGTTCATTTTCTGCATATTATCCACGGCGTCTCACATCAAAGTATAATCTTTGTGTGATCAAATGTGACGATTAAAAGCCAAATGATTTAAGTTGTGCCCAATTCAGATTGTTATTCTGGGCCGTGACTGGGGGGACTTGTGTCTGTGTGTGACGGGCCGCCACAGGCTCCATATATTTGGCATTCATCATGCTGTATAAACCTCAAAATGGATTAAAGAGCTTGAGTGTGCCAGAGAGGTGATATAGGGGAGCCATTTAAGCGTTACGCAGTGCCAGAGAGGGTGATAGAGGGGACCCATTTCAGAGTAACACGCTGCCAGATTTATAATGGACTGCAGCCACTCCACACACACAGAATATGCAGACAGATGAACACACACTCTCTCTCACACACACACACACACGGAGCAAGCTGACATAAAATTATTCTGGCTAGTTGACATGAGGTGTGACGTGTTAGATTAAATTAATTAGTTCTGCACCTCTTTCATGAGCTCATGTTAATTTACAGATGAGGAATATTTGTACTTCAATTTCTAGTACAATTTAAAATGAACAACTTTGAAACAATTTCCACTCAGAAATTGCTAGTCATGAATTTGCGAACAATTGTATAGAAACGAGAAATAATGCATTGAATAAAATGTAAAATTTTGAAGTAGAACGACTGAAAGAGTATTTTCTTGTAGCATAAAACATACTCCAATAATCCTTACAGCTTAGAAAAATTTTTTTTTACAGTGTAGTATAGGCAAAAATGTGATTTGGATTCATAAACATTTTACATAACATTTTATCCTAAAATCTTGATAACATTTTTGCATTTGGCAGATGATTTTATCCAAAGACACTTACATTGCATTTAAGCTATACAGTTTAAAGTTAAAACGTTCATTTGATTTAGTGATTAAAAATAAAAACCCATGAACATATGTTATGTAATCTACCCACAAGCACACTAAACACACTTAAGTATTTATCCATATTTCTGTCTGAAGTGATTGGGTTTGATGTATAAAGTAAAAAAAGAAAACAAATCTAAATTATTTGAGAAGCAGAGTAATTAGGACTTGTTAGACAGAGACTATAAATGTTTGGTTAGTTAAAGCTGCAGTAGGGAGTTTTGAAAAAAACGTTGACTTAGCCTGAAAATTTGAACAAGCACAACTTACAGGTCCCACCCCCTTGCTCTCTGCTGCGCTACAGCCCTCCCTCCACAGCTCGTCCTCCACAGCGGAGCCTGTCGTGAACGCGCAGGCTAGTAAACAGGGCCACCGATGACGGTGGATAAAAAGTTATATGGCACATTCACTAATAGGGACTAAACGTCAATAATATGCTTTACATTGACTATGGCCTGCCCATACTTTGACTACAAACTTGGTCCTCAAATCATTATGTATTTTGCAATAACCTACATGTAACTTTATAACGTTGCACTCTTTCTATAAGTTATAAATAGTTATAAATAGTAAGATAATGTTAATATAACGGTAACTAACGTTACAGTATGTAAGTAATTATTCTAGCGATATATAATGCCAGATAAGGTGTGCTAGTTCGTTATTTCAGCAACATGACAAGCCAGTGAATTAGCAGGTTTCAATTGTTGCTTAGCAGAGTGCGTGACATTTTATCTACATGTTATGCGGCTAGAGTTTTGACACCGAGTCAATGGGCTCTGTGTAATTCTTTCTTTTTCGCTTGTTTATCGTCATCAGTCTTTTTCCTTTTACCTCTTTGTTTTATGAGCAGGTGTCACTCGAGAATTGGCAGTTTAGGTTGTTTCTCCGTCATAAGCACAGCTGCAGCACGCCGGCAATCTTGAGTTTGAACGACGGCTCGCGCTCCGGCGCTCGCGCTGTGCAAGAGAGGGGTGTGATCAGCGCGTACACGAGCGTGACTGACACTGCTAAGACATTCCTCTCGGCTCTGATTGGTTGTTTCTGACCGGGAGCGTGTATTTCTGCAAATGGCAATAGGACCACTGGGAGAAGCCAGAGGAGCTTGATTTTTACACAGATTATCTGTCTCATATTCTACTGTCAGGACATAATGACAGTTTTAACAAATATGTAAAAAATATTTTTTACAAAAGTTACCTACAGCAGCTTTAACTGATCTTAAATTAGATTCTTGCTTCAGGAATCGCCACACAACACGTCAAAAGATTATCCAACTAATTTCAAGAATGTGCATGTGTTTTTAAATCTTTAATCTCACACCCTGTGCACCTCTGAAACACATACAGTTACTTTTTAAATAAGCTCCTGTTTAAACTATTTCATTCACACACACACAGAGAGAGAGAGAGAGAGAGAGCGAGAGAGAGAGATGTAAAGGTATAGCAGCACATTCTTCTGCATGATTGATCTTGATTAAGTTGTTTAATTAGGTGGCAGGTGTTTAATAATTCAGGGGGACTTACACACACACACAATGCAGCTAAAAGCGACACTGCACACACACTTTAATTAGAGCTGCTGCTGTTTGCCAGTGTAAATCTGGACCCGGTTCTGAGTGTATAATGTTTCCAGGCGTTCAGGCATTTTGTGTGTGTGTCTAATAATGCCTGTGATTTAGTGTGTGTGTGTGTGTGTTACAGCTATGCAGCAGACACCCGTGGTCACTGAGGTCCGGACCCCCACAGACACCTGGGCTGGCTTGGGCTTCTCTAAATCGATGCCCACCGACGCTGTGCGCGAGCTGAGAGCCGTGAGCCGCCGCTGCTACAGACCCTACAACAACCAGCAGCAGGTGCACACACACATCTAGGTTTCTAAATGAGGACGCACAGTAGACTTTTATTTTTATACAAAGCTATTTGGATTTTCAAAACCTTTAACACTGAGTATCAGAGTTCATCATGTGTGCCAAATAGTGAGTTTTGCACCAGCAAACACCGCTCACATTTTCTTCATGAAATGTAAAAGTTATTTTGACAGAGATTATACCATGCACACCAAGAAATTACATTTTTGAAAGAAATTAAAAGTTTTATTCAGCAAAGACTCATTAAGTTGGTCAAAAGTGACAGTAAAAACGTTTATAATGTATTTGTTTCAAATAAATGGTGTTCTTTTGAACTTTATTCACTAAAGAATCCTGAAAAATAAAATATTTAATGGTTTCCACAAAATTGTTTAGCAGCTCAACTGTTTCCAAAATTGATAATTATAATAATATTTTTTTCTTGAGCAACAAATCAGCATATTATAACTATTTCTGAAGGATCATGTGACACTGAAGACTGGAGTAATGATGCTGAAAATTCAGCTTTGATCACAGGAATAAATTACACTTTAAAATGTATTCAAATAGAAATTATTTTGAATTGTAATAATATTTCAGAATACTATTACTATTTCATCAAATAAATGCAGCATAAGTGTGTGTATTCAATTTACATATTAAAACTAGTGTATGAAATGACAAATGTAATTTATATAATTGAATTATCATTTTCATTTTGCATTGCACAAACGTTGCACAAATGTAATGGAAAATGTAAATGTAAATACAGAAATGCATTGCCATTTTACATATTGCATTATCATTTTGCATATTACATTTCAAATTGAACATTGCTACCCATGCTTCCATATTAGTGAGCATAAGAGACTTCTTTTAAAAAAGCTTACCAAACCCAAACTTTAGAACAGGAATCTTACTAAAAACAGAATCTTTCTGTTTTTCGTGTACAGAGGACAACGTTGTAAAAACGATCCCCTTTCACGAAACGATTAAAACACTGTTGTATTCATATCCGGCCAGTAGTTGGTGATGTCACTTTGTAAAGAAACACACACTCCTATAGACTGAACACGTAATAGGTATGTGCATGATATCACCATTTTCACAAATTCGCGTTTTTGTTGTTTACATAGAGTATTATACACTGTATAATTTTCGAAAACTTGCACTTTGATGCAAATTTGTTTTCAAAAGTTTGTTTTCAGTTCCCAAAAACGCTGTTGTCGTGTAAATGACACGTATCAAAAGTGTTCTGTTTTTAACTAAAGCTATGTGTGTACTGGTTTGACCTACATTATGAGGAATCGAAGTCCTTATATTGTAGTGTGTCAAATTGCTCATAAACAAGTTTTTTTTTTTTATATATATATTTTTTTAAATGTAGTAAGTTTTCTGTGAGTTAGGGGCTAGAAATGAGCTCAGTATTAAAACCATAACACCTATGGAATGTCCTCATAATGCTAGGTGTATCAACATGGACTGTGTGTGTGTGTGTTCTGAACAAGAGACCACAAAATTACCCACCTGTGTGAGGAACCTTGTGTGTGAGTTTATAAAAAGATTCCTTTCTGAGTACAGTGGTACTGTATACACACACACAGACACACAGACACACAGACACACACACACACACACACACACACACACACACACACACACACATACGCGTCTGTCATTCAGAACAGTGTAATCATGGAGAAAAGACTCTAAACTCCAATCACAGAAGTGAGCAGCACATCACTGTTCCCTTCACTTCCACCCTCATTTCCTCTCTGCTGAGATAATGAGACGCTCTCAATTAAAGATCTCAATGGAAGCGCTTTAGCTCTGCACTGCAGCACTGATTGAATCTGTTTTTGATTGTTACTGCTGTTTGAATCACATTATTTCTGAGAATAAGTGAAACCCCTTAAAGGATTCAAATTGAAAAGTTATTGAAATCTGTTTGTCTATTTGGTGCTTCGTCCTTTTTTAAAGGGTAGTTCAATCAAAAACGAAACTTGCCATCAACTGCTCATATAATTTAAAACCTGTCAAAAAATTATTTTCTTTTTTATTTAATGAAAGCAGCTTTCAAACTCCAAAAATATATATATTTTTTTGACAGAAGTCTTTTCTGCTCACTGAGGCTGCATTTATTTAATCAAAAATACAGCAAAAACAGAGATATTGTGAAATATTTTTGCAATTTAAAATAACTATTTTCTATGTAAATGTATTGTAAAATGTAATTTATTCCTGTGATCAAAGCGTCGTTACTTCAGCATCATCATTTGTCTGTGTGGTTGTAGGTGTGGAGTTCACAGAGTGGAAAGGAACGCTGTTGGAACGGCAGCGACTCGGGGAACTGGAGAGAAAGACGTGGATCTGCATCTTCATCACCACCTTCATCATCCTTTCTTGCCTATAGTTTGTCATCAGCCCGAACATGTACGTGTGCTGCTAAACTCATCGTTCTGCTCCCTAATTACAGAGGGAGTGACAGTCATAACGGCATCATGTTTAATTAATAGTAACTATTAAATTAGTTTAGCTGCTCATTACAAAATTCAATTCTGCCAGCAGCTTTATTTCAAGGTGAAACCATCATTTACGCTTGTAGAGGTGATCGAGATAAAGGACCTACTGGGAAATTTAAATATCACACCAGCTTTATGAGCTTTTCATTTCTGACCTTTGACCTGCAGCGGAGGCCTACCTGACCAGCTCTGAGGGCGGGGCTACAGTGTCCAGACATTTGATTGGCAGCTCTCCCAGTCCCGCCCACGCAGATGATCTTATAGAGTTACTGGCACAGCTGGGTCTGGAGAAATACATTGATATTTTCCAACAACAGGAGGTAAACGCACAACCCACACACACACACGTCCCAGACGGCACACCCACAGACCGCCCACACACCGTTATTGTCTGGTGCATGTTGCACACAAGCTTGGCAAGATCTGACTTGATCTAACCTTGAAGAATGAGGTTTGAGGTGGATCTAGAGACTGGATTTGCTAAAGTTGGCCAGGCTATTTGCATCAGATCTTTAAAAAAGATTTCCATGAGCAGAACTGTACAGTAGATTCTGCTTTGTTTTTGGTTTGTCAAACAAACAATCAGTATTTGCACTGGAAAAAATGATTTTCCTACACAGTATCTTTGTCTTGGATTTCAATAAAATAACATTCTTAAACCAATATACATTGACTTCAGATGCAAAGTCTCGTTTTCTGATGAATTGATGAAAACAAGAATATTATCTGCTGATGCAAAATGTTCAATATCAAATCAAAGACCAGCCAGTGGGGTCAGAAAACTGGCTGATATTTGTATGTGTGGAATATATATATATTTTTCTTATGCTCACCAACACTGCATGTATTTGCTCAAAAATACAGTAAAAACAATAATATTGTGAAATATTAAAGTTTACAATAATATAATAATAAATAAAATATAATATAAATATAATAATAAAATAATAATATTTAATAATAATATGTTTTTGTTATTTGAATATATTCTGAAATGTAATTTATTCCTGTGATCAAAGCTGAATTTTCAGCATCATTGATCCAGTCTTCAGTGTCACATGATCCTTCAGAAATCATTGTAATATGCTGATTTGCTGCTCAAGAAACATTTCTTATTTTTATAAATGTTGAAAACAGTTGTGCTGCTTCATATTTACTATATTTTCGATCAAATAAATTCAGCCTTTGTGAGCATTAGAGATTTTCAAAAACATGAACATTTTTTAATTACCTATTAACAAACACGCACACACACACACACACACACACACACACACACACACACACACACACACACACACACACACACACACACACACACACACACACACACACACACACACACACACACAAATAAATGTTGTTCTCTCATCTGTTAGATCGATTACCAGACGTTCCTGACGCTCTCAGACGAGGATTTGAAGGAAGTGGGCGTGAACACATTTGGAGCGCGGCGGAAGATGATTCTCGCCATCACGGGTCACTTTAATTAACCAATCTCATGTAGAACTCGTTAAGGGAAACATTCTGTTGGCTGATTTCACTAAGAAATCAGCATGTCGACATATGGTGGATAAATCTAAACATTTGAAGCATTTTCATGTGAAACTTCTGTACTGCATTTTCCCTTCATCAGATTTGAGTAAAAAGAGGACATTTCCAGAAGCGCCCACGGTGAAGTCTGGATACCTGGAAGGAGGAGCAAGCGGACGTCTTCCACGAATCATGGACGAGGACTTGGCTGCCAAGAGTAACCGCTGGTGACCGGATCACGTGAACGCAAAAGACTATAGCATTACCTATAATGCACCTGGGGCCAGTTTGTGCTTCCTGTCATGTGGCCCTCAGGGACCAATCAAAGTATGGCATGACAGATGATTTCCATATAAGACAGAGAGGACAGATGTGCTGTGACTCTCAGAGGAAACATGCGGAGAAGTGTGACCTTCAGCATGAACCCACTGCCCGTCCAACACCAATACTTAGTATGCAAGTCTGTCTCTCTGACTCTCTCTACCTCCATTTCTCTTTCTACTGCTGTTCTATGCAAAACTTTATTTCCTTTATGTATTGTTCAAATATAAGAATGCTTTCAGACGATGTTTAAATTTGGATCTTCCATTAAATGAGACACAAAAACACATCATTTCCTTTATTAATTTCAGAGCTATGGTACATTGCTCACGACATACACTAAGAAAAAGACTCGGAAAGTAGAAACAGTTTTCACTCGGAAATTGCTAGTAAATTTCACAAACAATCACAAAGAAACAGCAAGTCGAAGTAAATGTGAACTTTTGAAGTAGAAAAACTGACAGTGTTTTCTTGTACAACGTACTCCAATGATCTTGGTTTTATTTTACAGTGTATAGTTTAAGTCCACTGTCTTATCTATTAAAGACAAAAATCAGTCAGTGACAAACAAGAAAAGTAATATTGAACTGCTGTAAGTATGCATTGATCAAAGGATATATATTAAATTTGGTCCTAAAAAATAAGTAATAAAATAGTTATCGTTATTCAATTTAAATCATTGGAGGCACAAACCCTTTAGCCAATAGAGGGCGTCCTGTCACTGTCTGTTCCTCTATGAGAGCTTTCATTTTGTGCATTAAAATGCATCATTTTTTCTTGGAAATGAACAAATTAGCCTATGTAATTTCATAACCTCGACAATTACCAGCTTGCGCACTTCTCTGTTAAGTAAATATAGTGTGCGCAAAAAGAATAATTAGCTGGTTTTGTTCAGCAGAGAAAAATGTGAAACCGCTCTCAATATTCTGGCGTTGCACCTCAGTGCACAAGTGAAAGTTTTCAATTAAAATTATCTGTTCTGCGTGTGCTTAGCGTTTCTCTCATTTACAATTTAATGCATCTCTCACATGCACGTCAATCAGCTGGATTTCAGAAATACATCATGCGGATTTAGCTGTGTCAATATCTTGGCTGTGGCTGATGGGAATTTACACACTCTAACATTTTCAAAGTGTAAAATGTTAACGGCACATAATCAGAAACCACACTGACCTACATTACCCACTTTAAAATATTGCCACTTAACATTAACAGCATTAAGCCAATGGAGTGGAACAGAATAAATGAAACACACAAACTAATGTCACACACACACACACACACACACGTACACAGGACTGCTTGACAGAGAGAAACTGTTGCTGCACACAGAGCATGATAGATGTCATTGGCGGTTACTTCGTGTCTCGTGTCCATCTTCGCAGGAGGTTTAGTGTTTTAAAGATGACAATTCATGAATCAGCCATTGCAGGGTTAGAAGAACCACCAACCTTTTATGTACCATCTGCGCAAATATTTAACCAGCGAGTCACACCAGCCAATATGACTCTAAGTCATTTTCAGTATCTGTGACTTCTGAACTGCAGTACTCATGCACTAATAATGCTGTGACTCAACACAATGACCAACGCTAAGGTCATCATTAGTTCGATTACGATGGATTTAGTGATAAATTGTTTTGTCATATTAAAACGTCCATAATGCATTAATGTGCACGCAGACCTTTCTAGGCGCCTTTACACAATTGAGTTAAGGGTGCGTTGAGGCTGTACAGACTCAATGCATAAATGCCAGATTATTATGGAGCTCTGATCCATCTCAGTTCCTAGAAGCTCTGATGTGGGTTTGCTTCAGCAATAATTATTGTTATAATTTCACATTTCCATACATTTTTCTATAGAAATAATGGTAACACTTTAGATTAGGGTCCAATTCTCTATTGACTGACTTTTGCCACGATAAACTCCTACTGCTTATTATTAGTTAGTTAGTAAGGTAGTTGTTAAATTGTTAAGTTTTTGGGTGGATTAGGGGTTGTAGAATATGGTCATGAAGAATAAGGCATTAATATGTGCTTTATAAGTACTAATAAACAGCCAATATCCAAGTAATATGCAATCAGCAATTAGATAATAGTGAGAATTGGACACTAAAATAAAGTGTTTCTGAAATAATTGTATATTATATTGATAGATTAATTTCATGAGTCACTCCACAAATTAGACAGACATCCCTTTTGTGTCACTTATGCACCATGAATAACAACTTTTACTATGCACAGAACATTATTACAGGTAATTAAAAAAAAGTCAATAATTCAGTAACCTTACTTTATTATATACAATTTCTGCCTTTTTGGGCTATCCCCCGTCATGCTTCCAACTTCTCGTTGCTGTATTTGTACATTTATATTGAAAAAGAAAAGAAAAGAAAAGCAAGTATTTTATTTATATATCTTTAGATTTTAGTGGGCATAAAGATGCTAAGTGCTTTTGTTAGGTTATATGTCAATCCTGTTACCATCATATTGTATATAAATAAATAAATATAAAACTGTTATCATTGCAGGCAACGAACTCTTCAAGGACAACTCTTCAAGTGTCCCCTCTTTATATCACTTTGTAATATGATGTTGGGTGGGTTTGTTAGAATGGACTGATTAAAGCACTTTATTTTATTGTTTCTGGAATGAGCCTTATAACATTCTTTCAGGAATAGTAATTTCTGTAGCTATAAATGTATGCCGCCTCTGCGCAGCATTAAACAGTCTGTGGACGCACCGTCTCGTGGTTTATACACATTAGAAGCGGCTACTGCCTTATTTGCAGTGTAAAGGTGTGTGTGTGTGTGTGGTGCTGAATGGACAGCTCCCCCACACACATCAGCGGTTCAAACCCTGAGCATAACTGAACCTCTGCACTAGACTACGGAGAACACCTACAAATATCAATCTCAATACTTTCCCCGCGTTATGCTTACTAATGAGGTTAATCCATTGACTTGTTTATTCTATTCAATTAAACATGAGCCAATATTGCCCATCCGTCTCCCTGCAGCTGAAATCACTGCAGTGGACAGCAGCAGTTTAGAGCCATTACAGCCTGATTTCAAATGAAAACGGAGGCTGGTTTTAATTTGTTAGGAGTGATCAGGGAGTGAGCGCTTGTCGGTGTATTGATTCCCTCTGCACAGCACAGGATGTTTTACAGCTTAAAGTCAACACCTGCGTATTACCTCTTCCAGCACACACACCTCAACGCCAACGTTTGTTCCCGACTGAATGCACCACTCCCTTTGTTCTACATCCATCTCTGAGAGAAAGACTGAAAATGTGTGTCTGTGTGTGTGTGAGAGAGAGAGAGAGAGAGAGAGAGTGTCTATCTGTGTGTGTGTGTGTGTGTGTGTGAGATAGATAGATAGAGAGAGAGAGAGAGAGAGAGAGAGAGAGAGAGAGAGAGAGAGAGAGAGAGAGAGAGAGAGAGTGTTTGTGTGTGTACCGTACGCTACAAAACTACAACCTTTCCTTTATAATATACAAAGTTCAGCGAAGAAAGCTTTCAGAATCATAACAGCAGCGTTTCGGTTTAGTTATTAGAGTTTGCGTCACGCGTTATCACATAACGTCGCGTCCCTCTGTTTGGAGAGAGAGAGAGAGAGAGAGAGAGAGAGAGAGAGAGAGATCGAGGAAAAGTGGGCGGAGTCACGGTAGAGGGGGCGGAGACGCTCACCGTTCCATTACACGGGTCCGTTTCTCCCGGTCGTGTTCAGTGCAGCAGCTACAAGATCTGAGGAAACTCACCCACTCCCGTGTCTCGGATACTTTACGGTCCCACGGACGCGCCGCCCGCCCGGTCTCCAATCACCCGTTCAGTTTGGCCCCGGGAATCGAGAACAGTCCCGTCTTGAGGTGAGTGAAGCGAATAATGTCGTTATAATACTATGAAGCCAATTAAACCAGAAGGCAGTGAAGCTCGCGCTCAAGGAGTCGAACGCGGGAAGCGCGAGCCGTTTTACTCGCCCGTTAAAGTCCGTTATTTTTGTTTGTCAAGTCACCTCAGGATTTTCTCCTCAGGGACGATTAATCATATCAGATGGACATATTCAGCGGATTTATAATCCAGAAATAATCCGCGCCCTGCCTGTGAGGCTCTGGAGTTGTTTATTGGATACGAATTATTGATTTTTTTTATGTTTTATTGTTTGGGCTTGTTTATATGAAAGTCTTCTCAAACTCAAAAAGGCTTGACGTCTTTACTTCAAGTGTGCCCCGTGTCTAATTTTTTCACCTGCTCTCTCTCTCTCTCTCTCTCTCTCTCTCTCTCTCTCTCTCTCTCTCTCTCTCTCTCTCTCTCTCTTTCTCTCAGATGATGTTGAGTCTCGGTCTGTTCGTGTCCCTGGTGTTTTTGACGGTGTCGGTTACCGGCAGCAGTGACGGAAACCCGCTGGACAATGATAAGTGGATGAGCACCGTGTCCCAGTACGACAAGAGCAAATACTGGAACAAATTCCGCGACGTGAGTTTTCCCACTATATTTCCTTATGCTACTGTGTGTGTGTGTGAGAGAGAGGCGCGTATTGCTTTCTAAATTTCTATGGACCAAATGTTCCCGCAAAGGTCTGTAGTCATTTTAATTAGCTTAATTCAGAACAAAAGTCAAAGGATGGTCTCTGTGTTTTGTTAACCTGCTTAGTAATTATCAAAAAATTCCCTGAAAAAATAGCAAAAGCTGACTGATCCTTCTTTTGTTGTCTTTCCCACTAGGTAAAAGCTTCATAAATTGGCAAAATGGTGTATTGATTAAAATCTAAAACGCCTAAAGTTTTATTTTAGGGTTAGGGGTTGTCTACTCTAGTGTTTATAATGTTACCTCATATATTCAAAACAATGGATATGTGTGAGCTTGTGTGAATGTGGCTGTATTCATCTAGTGTTTGTATACTATCCCTACTAAATGTAGTATCCAAGATTAGGATTAGTACATCCAGAATTAGATGACATTGAAAGCAGTATGCCAGAGTGATTAGGTAGATAACATGTTTGGGCCGAATGTTACTTAAAATCACTTTTATAGAAGCTCAATATGAACACTTAATATCCACTAGCCTATATTATATGCAACCAGCAGTAGGGCAAATTATGTCTGAATACATAATAGCACAGCAGTCAGATTCAAAAAGTTGAAAACCATGAGAACTGTTAGGGCTTTTTAAGTTGACAGTAAATGGTATTAGTCAAGAAAGTTGTCAGTTGTGTGTATACTGTACTTGTTTTATGATTTTGTATCAGGCCCAGCTTAAACAGAGAGGAATCAGATCAGATTTCAGGTATCGGATATCAAATATCAATGGTTGATTCTTCAGCTAGAACATTTGGCCCTTAAATCCTAAATATGTGGTTACTGTCTTGTTTACTGCCGTACTGGGATACTGGTGTGCATTAGTATGCAGTCAAAGTATGCCAATTGGGATGCAGCCTGTGTGTTGCGTGCATGTGTTGTGTAATCCACACTGGAGAGATTGAGATCTCAAAACGAAGCACCTGTCCATAAGTGTGTTTAGGGGTTCTCTGCTGTGGGATCTTTGAGAGTGAGATCAGGGGGGTTCGGAGGCTCTTTATATGGATGAAGTGATTGCAGGAGGTGAAATGAAGAGTCTCTTCATGCCTCTCTCTTTCAATATGCATCTCTCTCTCTCCTCTCATTCTTTATCTCTGCCTCTCTCTTTCTCTGTGTCAGTAATTTCTCTGTGTTAATGAGAGGTGATATTATGAATGCTGATGCAGTCAGGGAATCTTTGAAAGGGAAGGTGACAAGGACATTAACACGCGCACACACACACACACACACACACACACACACACACACACACACACACACACACACACTTCCATGTTCCACCAACACTGGAGAAAAATCATTAGGGGTGGGTGGGATGACCAACAACTTACTTCTTGAAATGAGAAAGAATGTGTAGATAACAATGTAGTCATTTTTCTGAAAATGTGCAAATGGTTTATAAATTAAATAACCATCTGCTAATAGTATTTTTAGATAAGCCAGTGCATGAAATGCTGCACAAATGAAAGGCACTTCATCTCTTTTTTTATTCTTTTTATTTCGAGGACACGCTGCCAAAGATCAGACTATTCATAAGAAATGAAGTCTGGCATCAGTGCAAAACCAGATTCACAATATATAAGTGCAAAACTAGTATAAACAGATTCAATTCTTATTAGATGAAACAATCAGAATTCCAATTTTAAAATTTTAAAGAAATGCAACAGGTAATGGTATTCTGGGAAACAACACTCTAAAAATTGCTGGGTTAAAAACAACCCAATTGGCAACCCAGCGCTGGGTAAATATTGGACAGAACACATGCTGGGTTAAATTGACCCAGTGACATTTCAACCCAGCAGGCTGGGTTGTTGAGAAAACCCAAGATGTAGTCATTTTTTACCATTAATGGATTTGCTAGTCTGGGTTATTTTTGCTGGGTTATTCTTATAATTTCACCTGTGCTTTACTGTAAAACTATGAATTAAGAAATAATGAAATAAGAACATGTTAGACTGTCAAAATAATCTTTTTTAATGCTTGTCAACTGACATTCACAAACGTGTTAAAATTGGAAGCACATTAAATTTAAATGCAAAAATCATTTAGTTCTGCAAAGTTAAATATTGTCATATTTTAATAAATAAATACGATTAGTTCTAAAACCATGGTTTAAATACAGTGACATTGACAATAATATTTTAAAGTCAGCGAATGCAAAGTCATTTAAAAATACATCAAGTATTATAGTCAAATACAATTAAAGAAAGAAGATTAGTTCTGAACAATGACATTTATACATTTAACGGTTTAAATACACAGTGAAATTGACAGACAATTCAATTTTAAAGTCAGCGAATGCAGAATATTTTTTAAAATATGCTAAAATTTACACAGGTATAGTTAAATAAAGTAAAATAAAGTTAAGGAAGAAAGAAAATGAGTTTTGAACAATGACATTTATACCATTTAATTCTTAGTAAATTAAAGTGAAATTCACAGATGTGCAAAATTGTATTTTACAGTACAGTATTTTAAGCAGTATTTTAGAAATGCCACCATGTTCGTTCCAACCTATAAAAGAAAGTAAATACAATATCAATTGTTTCAGTGGCAATGGTGTCATTATTCGGTTGAAGTCAGTTCAGTGTTGATTCAATTCAGTTCAATTACTGTGTAAATTACTGTGTAAAGTTCATCATGATTTCAACAATCAATATTTTTATTTGGCGAAAAGCCATATAATAAGTGGTATACTTTACTTTATTCCTTAAATGTCTTGTTTGATCTTGTTTTTTTTTTTTGTCAAGGATCAAAGCTGCTTAATAGGAATTGTTTTGAGGTAATAAAGTTAAATGTACATCCAGGCAGTTTTCATCACAAAATAAACTCCTTCAGGGTGATACGAGATCCCTCCACTTTGTGTTAATTACCCTGTTGAAGTTTATTCTGCAATATCAACTGGCTGGATGTACAGTATCCCATGCTTAATGCACAGGCAGGTCACAATGCAATTTAAATAGCAGTTATGCAGTTTTATACTTACTGGTTGAAGATCAATGAAAGCCTTAGCTTGGTCAATATATGGACGAAAGACCCTCTGACCAATTCTGTCCACCATGGCAGGAAGAAGGGGAAGGACCAAAAGAGCAACATCACCTCTATTCTCTACAGAAAAGAGACATAACATCTCAGAAACAGGACCAGCTACAACAAATATATACTAAAGTTAGTGCAATAAGCTACAGACATAGAAATAAATATGCAATAATGATACTACATACTGAAAGTTGCCTTTTATGTTGTATAATTTTGAAGATCTAAAACAACTAACCTTGCAGATATTTTTTATGCACAAACAGCAACATAACACACTAACTAAAGTTGAAGAAATGAAATAGATTAATAAAGTAATTCTCCACCCACAAATTTAAATCTCTCATCATTTACTAGCCCTCATTCCACCCCAGATGTGATGTATATGACTTTCTTTCTTCTGTGTAACACAAATGGAGATTAACCATATAACATAGTCCATACTATACCAGCTAGCAGTGCTCCCTTTATGTTTTTAGCATTAGTTGAGAGATTTTTTCCTTTAAATTTGTTTACATGAAGCTACTACATCTGATATTTATCCAAATGAATCGACATTGAATCAAGATCGGAATCGAATCACAAGCTTTTAAATTGCTAAACTCAGAGGTTGGCAGCCTTGTGAGCTACCTATAACATACGGATCAAATGTAACGTTATATAGGCTACGTTAAGTTACGCGAGGTTGAGTTGATTATCACAGGCAGTCAATTATATGTAAAAGCTGCAAACGTGTATAATAAACATGAACTTACCGTTAAACTTGTCGATAAGACTGGCTAACTGCCACTCGAGTTTCCCTCACAAATGTATCCATGCTTTTCTGACTAGAAAAAAACGACATTTTGAATTACATCACTTACCAAAAACAAATTTATGTATGTAAAAATACTTTTTGTACCACACATCAAATCACCTCACTGGTCCAACCCACGGCACTGAGCATGCGCGCGCTTTGAAAGTTTTCGCGGTGCTGATAAGTCGATTCATTTCTTGGAATCATTTTGTTTCAAAATTGGTGAACCGGTTTATTTGAACCGGATGGACGGTTCTTTTCGACCTGCGGTCCCACAACATTTTACGCACTTGTTATGTCTTTTACATGTCGGTAATTGCAGGCGTTTTACAGTTTTACATAAGAGCAGTGAGTGATATTACTCAATTGTTTTGTTTTGAGTGACTCGACTCACTTTGTTCAATTCGCTTGTCAGTGACAGAAACGACTCTTTCCTCTGTTTCAGATATTCACATATTTAATGGGTTCCGTGTGGTACATAATCATGAACTGTATATTTAAAATAATTATTAATTAGAAAAAAACATTATATAAACTTACCTCAAAACAGTTTCACCCAGCTGCTTTGCCTTTGCCCCTTTGTCCTCTCAAAATGACAGCTGGGAGCGAATTTGAACATCTCCAAGGCGCGAAACTCGTGAAACAACCCAGCTGGGCAGAAACAACCCAGCGTTACGACCCAGCAGATTTAACCCAACCACTGGAAAATTAAAACTACCCAAAGGTGTTTAAAATATGGTAAAATAACCCAACAAAATTACCCAACAGACTCAACCCAGCATTCTGGGTTAAAAAACAACCCAGCATTTTTTAGAGTGAAAGCGTTCTTCCACCTTGATCCATAAAATGAAAGTTAATTGATTAAATATGAGGATGCATAATGTAAATTAAGTAGAAAAACTTCTGACTTTTTTAACTTTGTATTAAAACTTTCAGACAAGGCTTTGTCAAGCCATCGTTTAAAGTTTGTTTTGACAAGCTTTCTTTATCTAATTCAAAATCACACTAATTGCAGAATGATTTTCTTTGCATTTCAGTTCATTTTAAAATTGAATTACAATTCTCC